ATTGATTTCCCCCACAACTGAAAAACCAGTAGGCCAGGGATGGGGAACCTTTTATGGCTCACTCAGGAATTCTGGGATTTGAAGTCCATAAGTGATAAAAGCGCCAAGTTTCCCTACCCCTGCATTAGAAAAAAGGCAGATGCATAATTAGATTGTAGACAATCCTACCTGACTTTGAGCGCAGGTTACCAGTTGCCAGGAGATATTCAAGCATCCGGGTGAGATCTATTCCCATGCCAAGAATCTTTATCATGTTTTCTGAAGTAATTGTTACATTTGACCTCTGAGCTTTCTTATCTAATGCTAGTTTAACTGAGTGTAGCCAAGTTTCCATCTTCTCCTGAAAGACAGGATGAAAATAAATAGAGGTAAGGTAAATTAAGAAAACACTGAATAGTCTATTAGTAGTAACTTAGTCACTACATTTTAAATGGAGGGGCAACACATATTTTGACTGAACCCGAATATGCATTTGTAAGATTCTGAAACTCAACTTTCTTGGATGCTCAACTTCCTCAGGTGATGCCCCTTTCGTCATTAGCTTGTAACAAATTATTCCATGACTCAATGCTATAGAGACCAGGGCTGTCAAACTTGCTGCCCGCAGGCCAGATGCATCATGCACTGGCCATGTCCATGCCTGGTTTAGGGAAGAGGGGGGAAAGTCATGATACTTCATGTGATGCCGCCGTGACGATGTGAGTTTGACACCCCTGCTATAGACAAAACATCAGTGGGGTTTGCAGCAAGCAAGAATTGAGTTGCAGCAATGTAATACAAAGCCACAGATTCATCACACCTCTTGATTAGGGCACCTTATATAAAAAAATTCAGCTTCAAGTCCAGAAACAATGTGTATGTTACAGCTTCTAGACTTGATCCCAGCAATATTAAGGGAAATGGAGAAAATGACATATGTGAACACATATAGTTCCCCAGGGTTTTAAAGAAATGCGGTGCCCATTTGAAACAAAACCACCGGAATATGAGGAACTCTCCTGCTGTTTCATAAATCAGGAGTATCTATACTGGTGAAAAAAAATCCTTGAATCATCCAATACAAATGCCATTCCTGCAGCACTGCAATCAATCAGTGTTTCTTGCTTCTATGTTTCGCCTTTTTGTGAATTCAGATTGTGGAAGTCCAGTAATATGGACTTTCATTGGTAAAAATGGAGACTACGCAGAAGGAGAGCCACCCAAAATTAGCACAAACATAGACTGACAGATGAAGAATCTATGAAAATAGGCAAAGGACCAGGCTCCCTCTCTGTTCTGTTATCAAATTTCCTGGCATAACAGGCCACTATTTTTTACTGAAAACTGATCCAATTTGTAAGAGTTTTATCCAAGGAAACTAAGCGCGTTCATATTTTATTAAGCCTAGGTAAAGACTGAAGGTACAACATTGGAATCAGAAAAGGGGTATTTCCGTGTGTCTCATGAGACTCTCAGCACAACAGATATTGGATAATTATTACATGGAAGACAATGGTTGGACTCATACATCAGAGGAAACCATAAACCAGGAGCACCAACCTGCAGCTTCCCAGCATTCCATTTGTAGACCAAGATTATACCATCAAAATGACAAGATCCCCACCACACTTCCATTCCAAACTTTATACCACTCAAAATTTGATAATCAAGAGGTTCAGAAGTTTCAGCCTTGTCCCTGAGACTGTCACCTTACCAGATGGTGTGCAATTCTTCAAGAGACCAAAAGACTAATTCCTGACCTATTATAAATTATGGTTTACAAATGAAAAATGTAGTTCAGGCATGGTAATCCTAAAATCAAATGAATCACATTATCCCAGCAGTGGAAGTCTCTCTGTGCAGTGTGAGCATAACCATGTTTGGAGGGAAAAGAAGGGGAGAAGGGACAAATTTAAAAGCATTACCTTTAAAAACATGAGGTAAAGTTGTCCTGAGGTGAGCACTTCTTGGTTCATTAAACTGTCAGGATTGTCCTCCATGCAACCCTCTTTGGATAAAGTAAAAAGCTTTCGTGTCATGAGACAAAGCAAGTAGAATTTCTCAGCTTTTGTTTTCAAATGTATGCAGATGCACTGCCTATAGGAACAATTAATAAGAGCAAATCACCCTCTGAATTTCTTTATCTTCTCAATCCAGCAGCTGTCTACTCTGTTAGACAATCTGGATTAAGAAAAAAACTACATACCCTAAAATAATTTCTTTTTTATTGAAATAAATTCAGTATATTAATGCAGAAAAAAGTAACCAACATCCTTCAGAAGATTTTGACTAAAAATACCACATTGCTTTCCTTCAGGTCACATGGGCTAAGGCTCATGAGATTTGAAGACCTAAATGTCTCAAAGGTATTACATTTAGTACAGATTTGATTGATGTAATGGGGCAACTGTTTCTATCTCAAATGCATTAGGTTTTAATGTGGAATAAAATTACTAAAGGGAACTGGGATTACCAATTAGAAGGCAGAATTTCAAATGTAATAGCAAAGTTTCCTTCGAGAGTAACTCAATTGCTGGAGACTTCAAGATTTTTTTTTTTTTTGGCAATGAAACGTAAATAATTTGCTGCCTTCTTCTGGATTTTCTTTTATTGTCCTGTTTAACCTATAGCCTCAATATTCCCTGGAGGTTCATCCATCTAATTCAATCATCAAGACAAGGCAAGTGCTGCCTTCTGTTGAAAACTGTAATCCGCCCAGAATAGTCAGAAAGCCAAGATGCACAATGTCTTTCTCAGTGATATTACATATTTATGGAATCTATCATTATACCAAGAGCTATGAATTCTTTGTCATTAGACAAGGCCATAAGACTTATTATACAGGATAAATATATATGTGCTTGTAGCAGTGGTATGTTGATATGTGGCTCTGCCTATGTTTTAGGACTACTTAAAAGCATAAGGATCAGTAAGAGAATTTCCAAACAAATTTATTCCATAATTCTATCAAGAACAGGTATTCTTGACCACAATTGGGATCAGAATATCAGTTGCTGGAGCAAAGTGATTATTGTGCGAGATATCACCTGAATGCAAACTCAACTACTTTGTTCAACAACTGCAATCCTGGCACTCCTGGTTGTGGTTGTTCGGCAACCACATAGGTGGTTATGTGATGGAGTCCTAGGTAAGGAATACGGGGTGCCTTGGGGGAGTGTTGAAAATTCTGGAATGCTCTGTTCAGGAGCTGAAAATCCTCACTGCTGAAATCCAAGCCAATACTCTTGCACAGTCTGCAGAGGGGTGCCTTTACCCTTGGGAGCCCACGCACAAAAGGGAACTCCTTTGGTGGGGCACAAGAATCGAGTGGAATTTCAGTTCTGTTTCTGCACTTTTGAGAGGCAGCTCTTTCAGCCAGTCCCAAGAAAAGGGGGAGTCCTTTCAGTAGGCAACTGGAGCTTATCACCTTTTTTGCCAGCTCCCCCATTGACTTTCTGGGGAAGCCAGTAGAGAAAATTGCAAATGGTCCTCATATGATTGCAGGTTGCTTGGCAATTGGTTGTAAGTGAAAACAGGTTGCCAAGCATCTACATCATGATCACATGACCAAGTGCTTCGTGGAGTATAAAGTATCTTTTCCAAGGCCATCATAATTATGAACCATTGTTAAGTGGGCAATCATAAGTCAAGGAATATCTGAAGTTTCTTCTAGTGTTCAGCTAAAACCTACACTCTTTTAGGCAAATTGTATGTAGTCCTATCTCTGCAGGTAACAGAGAAAAACTATTATTAACTCAAGATGAATTCGACCCTGAATTTAATGATTCCCCCTACTCCAGGACAATTTGACACATGACTTTAAAATAGCAATTCTATTAATCGAAAGACTGATTAAATTTCCCTTAGCTTTTATTTTAAGGAAATAAAGTCTTCTGTTCTCTTATATAAGAAGAGCTGTTTATCTGAGATGAGCAGTGTGGAAATTTGATAAACAGTTGTTCATATACATGAACCATGCAGTCATGACTATTGTGCAGCTACCCTTCTCAAGCCAAACGTATCTGATTCCTCCAGGCTAAATATAGCTGACCCTTTCCTCATACGGCCTCCAACCATAATTTATATTCTTGGTAAAGCATGACACTGAGAACTCAACACAAAACTTTAGATGATTCAAATGAAAAAGAATACTTCACACAACATAGGAAATATGGTTCGTTAGGAAATGCTTAAAACATCGATATTTTTCCCACATGCACCATAATGTGGGCTCCGGTTCAATCTGATCCTAAATAGTTGTACCTACTTGAAAAGGAACTCTCCAACCCGCTCATTGGAATACCAATCAGGAAGGTTCAATTTTACTCTGAAGTGCTGCCCTAAGAAGATTAGCACTTGCTTCTGGGTCACACAGCCATCCTCTGTAACCAGCCTCAGCATTTGAGAGACACAGTTCTTATAAAATGTATCATCTTCTTTCCCTTTAACCAGTTCTTGGAAAATCTGAAAGTCTGAGAAACCAACCAATGCCTGGAGCAGAAAAATAAAAAGTTGGAATTTTTAGATGTTTTGGGGCTTGATTAATAAAGAATTCATAAAATCATTTACTGGAATTATTATACTTATATTCTTATTATACTACTATACTTATTGTCACTCTGGAGATATATTATAGTATTCTAAATTACGTAATTTGATAATAGTGGCCTCATAATGGTTTGGAGACGGTGAATACCTTCCAAAAATAGAACCCCATTTCTGCAGACAGTAATATTTAAAAATAGTTTTTCTACCACTGAACTGTGTTTGAGATATACATATTGTATTAGCCTGGTCAACCAATTCAGGATTTGATTTCTGCAGCTGAACCAGGCCACAGTCACTGTGTTGTGAATAACCATTTATACCAGCTTTGTTGACTACAATAGAGCCTTATGCAGCCTCCTAAGAAAAAAAGTTTACCTGTTCTTTATTGCTTCAAGTTGCTGCTGAACTGGATGGAACTAATTCTTACTATGGTTTTGCAAGCAAGGTTATTGCCCCACATCTTATACTTCTGGAAATAGAGCCCCCTGAGAACAAAATATAATGACAATACCTTAAGGAGAAATCCCAGCGGGATAAAAAACAGCTCCTTCTGATAGATGAAATTCACCATCACTGAACCGCTATCAAGGTAGTGTAAGGTCATGTTAACAGATGTATGCTCATCTCTAACACAGTGCATGGAGACCCCTAAACACCATCAAAAGAAACACATCTTAACATTATGTTTCATATTACTATCAAAGTTGCCTTTCCCAGGTAACTTATGGCCTAAGATGTAGTATACTGGAATTATTCTTCCCAGAATTTCTAGTGCCATTAGACAGCTGGCATCCAAGACCTTTCTTTTGCTGAATGCAAAAGTTACTAGATAGAAATACAGATAGTATTCAGATTACAATGTAACTGGGAGCAGAAATTCCTTCACTAAATAATATGGTCATAAAGAGTATCATGACGTTATCACATCACTTTGTGACAACAATTCTGGCGGTCCCTATTGCCTGCCATTGTTAAGTGAGGACTGTGGGTTCTTAAAGTGAGGGTTGCATGTGAGCACCATGTGGGAAGAGATAATGAAACTGCCTCCCAGAAAAAACAGGCCAGTTACAGGCAGGCACTACAGGGAGTGCGCAGGTGCTACAGGCTACCGCTAGAGTATAAGATCCCGATGCTGTCCAGGGGCTCATTGGGAGAAACAAACGGCAGGAGCAACTTGTGACTTTCAGCTGGCTTTCCCATTGATTTTGCTTATGGGAAGTAGGTTGTGAAGATTGCAAATGGAGATTATATAATCCCACTATGTTTTTAGGGTTGGCCATAAATCCCCCTCATTCAGCATTGTTGTAACTTTGTTGCTAAATGAGTGGTTGCATTCAAGGACTACCTAAGGCAAACATAAGGAACTGGTGTAAGATTGAACATAGAGGGGGGAATGTTAGAATTTTCAATCAAAAGGCCTGTCTGAGGATCAATCTCAAAGAAATGAGGACCACATAAGTAATGAGCATGGTGAAAAGCACATTTAATTTAAAATATTTAAAATATCACATAATGATATAGTTTAAGATGATTTTTTTCCCATTTATTGTCCTTCCGTCTCACAATGTCACAAAACACATTAAGCCATAATGTAGTTTTTTCATTTTGCAGTTGTTTAAATCATTTAGCACTGCATATAAAATCACTCTGGAGTCAATTTTTAGTGTTTTCTCACAAATGAGCCAAAACTCGTGTATGATGAATTTCATGAAGGAGTGTACACGTAATCAGGGAAGGCAAGTCAGTATAAATAAGGGATGCAAGTACAATACACCATTTACAGTACAGACTTTCTCACAGTTCAGATTAAAAAATGTCCTAAAGAAAATATTACCGTATATCTAAAATATCTAGCTTCTACCAAGAGAAATAGTAAAAAGATGCGAATAAAGAGAACTTATAAGTCAAAAGTTACCATATTGTGTGTAGCCTGGGCCTCTAGATTTCCATTTTGGTTTTATCATTGCAAGAGGAAAGTTGCGCCGAGGCATAATCATCATTCTTATCACCTTTTCTATTCCATTAATTATGAAATAACCACCCATTTCCTGCCAAAAGTGTAAGAAATGATAATTAATCATAAACCAAGCCATCGGGCAAAAAAGGATGAAATATTTCAGCTGATCAACTTAGTTTTGAGTAAATTACAAAATTGAGAGAAAAATGAAATTTTAAGAATTATATTTTCACAAGCTCTATTTTTTTTTACATATATTTAACACTAAGTACAGAAAAACAGGCAATCTAAATTATGACTATTAGAATAGTTGCTTATGTTTCTATGTTGATTGTTTTGTATTTTCAGAGTGTTGAATTATCATTAAAATTCCATTTTAAAAACTGATATAACTCTTCAAGTAATCCATCACCATCAAACAGTAACTACACACACACACACACACACACACACACACACACACACATGGCATTCAGCTTTGTACACAGAAGCCTAATGATGGCAGATGAGATTCTGCCGAAACGTTGCTACAACTTTAAAAGCACAACTACAATGATGTGGGAAAATACCCGAACAAAGCTGAATGCCATATATATATATATATATATATATACACACACATACACACATACATACATACATATACATACACTCTCTCTCTCTCTCTCTCTCTCTCTCTCTCTCTCTCTCTGCTCAAAAAAATAAAGGGAACACAAAAATAAGACATCCTAGATCTGAATGAATGAAATATTCTTATTAAATACTTTGTTCATTACATAGTTGAATGTGCTGACAACAAAATCACACAAAAATTATCAATGGAAATCAAATTTAGCAACGCATGGAGGTCTGGATTTGGAGTTACACTCAAAATTAAAGTGGAAAAAAAAACTACAGGCTGATCCAACTTTGATGTAATGTCCTTAAAACAAGTCAAAGTGTGTGTGGCCTCCACGTGCCTGTATGACCTCCCTACAATGCCTGGGCATGCTCCGGATGAGGTGGAGGATGGTCTCCTGAGGGATCTCCTCCAACACCTGGACTAAAGCATCCCCCAACTCCTGGACAGTCTGTGGTGCAATGTGGCGTTGGTGATGGAGCGAGACATGATGTCCCAGATGTGCTTAATTGGATTCAGGTCTGGGGAACAGGCGGGCCAGTCCATAGCATCAATGCTTTCGTCTTGCAGGAACTGCTGACACACTCCAGCCACACTTCTAGCATTGTCTTGCATTAGGAGGAACCCAGGGCCAACCGCACCAGCATATGGTCTCACAAAGGGTCTGAGGATCTCATCTTGGTACCTAATGGCAGTCAAGCTACCTCTGGTGAGCACATGGAGGGCTGTGCGGCCCCCTAAAGAAATGCCACCCCACACCATTACTGACCACTGCCAAACTGGTCATGCTGGAGGATGTTGCAGGCAGTGGAACGTTCTCCACGGCGTCTCCAGACTCTGTCACGTCTGTCACAGGTGCTCAGTGTGAACCTGCTTTCATCTGTGAAGAGCACAGGATGCCAGTGGTGAATTTGCCAATCTTGGTGTTCTCTGGCAAATGCCAATTGTCCTGCACGGTGTTGGGCTCTAAGCACAACCCCCGCCTGTGGACGTTGGGCCCTCATACCACCTTCATGGAGTCTGTTTCTGACCATTTGAGCAGCCACATGCACATTTGTGGCCCGCTGGAGGTCATTTTGCAGGGCTCTGGCAGTGCTCCTCCTGTCCCTCCTTGCACAAAGGCAGAGGTAGCGGTCCTGATGCTGGGTTGTTGCCCTCCTACGGCCTCCTCCACATTTCCTGATGTACTGGCCTGTCTCCTGGTAGCGCCTCCATGCTCTGGACACTACGCTGACAGACACAGCAAACTTTGTCACAGCTCACATTGATGTGCCATCCTGGATGAGCTGCACTACCTGAGCCACTTGTGTGGGTTGTAGACTCCGTCTCATGCTACCACTAGAGTGAAAGCACCGCCAGCATTCAAAAGTGATCCAACCATCAGCCACCAACAGCATAGGAACTGAGAATGGGCGTTGGTCTTACCTGACACGCCATTTCTAGTCGAGCTGCGAGGATCATCCAGAGAGTGGGAGGTGCTCCAGTCTGCGTCTGTGTAGGCTGGACTTAATCATTAGGGAACGCTCCGCCCTCTGTCACATGGTCCCTTGTAGCCTCCCAGTTTATGCGAAGTCGAGAGAGGAGGAAAGTCGTCTAACTCTCATCTAACTAGACCTAAAGTATCATTGGCTGAAACAAGGTTCCCCCAGACGGAAAAAAATTAAAAAGGGTGGGGCTGGATGATCCTCGCAGCTCGACTAGAAATGGCGTGTCAGGTAAGACCAACGCCCATTCTCCCTCGAGCTGCTCGGATCATCCAGAGAGTGGGACATACCAAAGCTTGGCTGTCCTACAGGTGGGAATCCGTCTGGGGTGGAAGCTCCCCTGGGTCCTCGATGACCCGCTGGAGGACTCGTCTACCAAACGAGGCCTCAGCCGACGCAAAGATGTCAATCTTATAGTGCCTAATGAAAGGGGAGGGGGAAGCCCAAGTGGCGGCCCGACAGATGTCTGAGATTGGAGCCTGGGTGGCCCAGGCCACAGAGGTGGCCGCACTCCTGGTGGAATGCGCTGTAATCCCACTGGGAACTGGCAAGGCCTGAGACGAATAAGCCTTGGCGATGGTGGCTCTGATCCATCGCCCGATGGTGGAAGGGGACACCTTGTGGCCTAAGGACTTGGGCTGGAAGGAGAGAAATAATGACTCTGACCTTCTAAAGGGTTGCGTGCGGTTAATGTATATGCGGAGGGCCCGCCTGACATCTAGGGTGTGCCATTGTTTCTCCCTTTCCCGCGAAGGATGGGGACAAAAGTTCGGGAGTGTAACCTCCTGAGCCCTGTGGAAGGCTGAATTGACCTTGGGCAAGAAGGTCGGGTCGGGGCGTAGAACCACCCGATTGGAATGGAAGATACAGAGGTCCTTTCTCACCGAAAGGGCAGCAATCTCCGAAATTCGGCGAGCCGAGGTAATTGCCACCAGGAATACTACCTTAAAGGTCAAAATTTGGAGAGAGGATTCTCTAATGGGTTCGAAAGGCGGTTTGGTGAGGGCCACCAGGACCTTGTTAAGGTCCCAAGTGGGGTACCGGTGCACAACAGGGGGACGGAGGTTAATAGCCCCCCTTAGGAAGGCCCTGATACGGGGATGGTGAGAGAGGGGACCCAGATTGTCGCCGGAGACGACAGTTGAGAGGGCCGCTACCTGGCGTCTCAGGGTATTAGGTGAGAGACCTTTTTTGAGCCCATCCTGGAGAAAATTCAGAATCTGGGCCACCGAAGGCAAGAGCGGGTTGACCATGGACGAATGGCACCACCTGCAGAAGCTGACCCAGGTGGCATCGTATATCCGATTGGTTGAAGGCCATCTGGCGGCCAGGATCGTGTTAATGACCTGGTCAGATAAATTCTCCTTCCTCAACTTTTCCCGCTCAACCTCCACACGGTTAGTTGGAGCCATTGGGGCTCCGGATGTCGAATGGGCCCCTGAGACAGGGAGATCCTGTCCGGAGGGATTCTCCACGGGGGAGACACCGAGAGGTTGCAGAGGTCTGCAAACCATGGTCGCCTGGGCCAATAGGGGGCCACCAAAATCAGATCTGCCTTCTCCTGGATCAGTTTCTGAATGACCCTGGGAAGCAAAGCTAACGGGGGAAAGGCGTACAGGAGTCCGGGGGGCCACGGACAGCTAAGTGCGTCGTGATTCTCGGCCCCGGGGGAAGGGAATCTGGAGAAGAACCGAGGGAGCTGGGAGTTGCAGGGGGATGCAAAGAAGTCCACTAACGGGAGACCGAAGATCATGGTCGCCTCCCTGAAAAGGGATGGATGAATGCGCCACTCGGACTGGTCCATGGTGGCCCTGCTTAACCAGTCCGCTCGGGTGTTTGAGGCCCCCGAAATGTGTTCTGCTTTGATCGAGAGGAGGTGACGCTCTGCCCAACGGCAGAGTCTCTCGGCCTCTCTCATCAACCGAATAGACTGGGTCCCGCCTTGCCTGTTGACATGGGCCTTGGCGGTAACGTTGTCTGTGAGAATAAGGACGTGCCGCCCGCGTACCTGAGGCAGGAAGTGGCGGAGGGCCAGGTGGATGGCGTGGAGCTCCAGCCAGTTTATGCTGCAGGCCCGCTCTGCATGGGACCATTTGCCCTGTGTTGTAAGGGACTGGAAGTGAGCGCCCCAGCCGCTCAGGCTGGCGTCTGTGGTGATGACGAGACGCTGGGGATCTTTGAAGAGATGACCCCTGTTGATGGCAGGGTTGGTCCACCAGAGGAGAGACGAGAGGACCTTTGGAGGTACCTTGATGGAGGATTTTGAGTTGCTTCTGCTGGACCTTTGAAACGGAAGCAGGAGCCACTGCAGGGACCTGGTATGAAGACGGGCCCAAGGAATAATAGAGATGCATGAAACCATTTTTCCCAGTAATTTAGATAAATCTAACAGAGAAGCCCTCTTTGATCGGCGAATAACCTGAATTGAATTTCGAATACTCTGAAGCCTTTCCGGGGAAAGGAACACTTTTTCCTGCACCGTGTCAATGATGGCCCCCAAGTGGGCAATTCGGGTAGAAGGGACCAGTTGGCTCTTTTTTTGGTTGACCAGGAAACCATGGGCGTGGAGGGCGGAGAGAGTAGTCTTGGTGTCCCGCTCTGCTTGGGATTGTGAATGGGACAGGATGAGGATATCATCCAGATAGCAGTGGAGACGGACCGGGCAGTCCCTTAAGCGAGCTGCCAGGGCCGCGAGGATCTTAGTGAAAACTCTGGGAGCGGAGGCTAACCCAAAGGGAAGGGCCACATACTGAAAATGGTGGTGATTGTAACAGAATCTAAGGAATTTAGAGTGTGAAGGCCGAATTGGGATGTGGAGGTATGCCTCAGAGAGGTCTATAGAAGATAGCCAATCTCCTTGCCTGGTACCCTGCAAAATGGATTGGAGGGTGTGCATTTTGAATTTGCGGGGGTTTAGGAAGCGATTGAGCCGTTTGAGGTCCAGGATAGCCCTCCATCCTCCCGAGGACTTGGGAACCACGAAGAGGTGGGAATAGAAACCCTGCCCTCGCTGAGAGGGGGGAACTGGCTGGATGGCCTGGATGGAGAGTAAGTGATGGATGGCCGCATCCATTAATTTGCGTTTGGAGGGGTCCCTAGAGGAGGGAGATGACATGAAGAACTCGGGAGGTTGAGAGTTGAACTCCAGAGCGAGTCCAAACCTGATGGAGTCCCTGACCCATCTGTCGGAAGTGGTAGAATCCCACAGGTCGGCGAAATGCCTCAGCCGACCACCAATGGGAGGAAAAAGAGAGGATTCATTTGGAGCGCCGGAAGGGTCTCCCCCCGGAACCCCTGAAGGGACGCTTAAATCCTCCGCCCCTCCTATTTCGATCGCTCGGGTCGGAACGATCCTGGGAATATGATGCTCTATACGAGGGAGGTCTCGGGTACCTGGGGGGGAAGGGGGACTGGTAGAAGGACCGGGACGATCCTCTTCGAAAGGTCTGAGGGGCTCGGGAGTCAGGCCTCCGAAAAAGAGGAGGAAGGAATTTCTTCTTTCCCCTAGTTTCGGCCAAGAGAGGGTCCAGGGCCGGCCCAAAGAGCTTCTCCCCTCTAATGGAGGCGGAGGCCAGCTTGACCTTGTTCTTCACGTCCGCCTGCCATGGTTTGAGCCAGAGCAGGCGGCGGGCAGTGACCTGGGACGCTAACGCCCGGGAGGCGAATTTAACCGAATGGTACGTGGCGTCCGCTGAGAACTCTGCCGCCGCTGTGATTTTGGCAATGTCCTGCAGCGCCCGTGTATTGGATGGAGGGATGTGGGCCTTCAGTTGATGGAGCCACCGGATAGAGGACCTGGTAAAGAAGGAGGCTGCGGTGGCCGATCTAATTGCCCAGGCGTCGGCTAGAAGAGCCCGCCGCAAGGCCAATTCAGACCTCCTATCCTCGGGTTTGAGGGCCTCCAGTGGGTCACTCGGGGAGGAGAAAGAGGCGAGACCAACAATGGGCTCGTCCATCTCCGGGGTATTGAGGAGGGAGCAGAAACCCGGTTCGAGGTTAAAGAACCTCTTATCCTGTGTGGATGGGGCCGGAGGAGCCCCCGTAAAACCCAGTTGGTTGGAAACCAGATCGTGGAAAATGGGAGGAGCGGGAATCACATCCTCGGCCACCACGGGCTGTTTGAACATTGCGTCCTCCGGTTCCTCCCCAGAGGAGTGGGGGACAGGGGGAAGTTGAATGGCCAGGCCCGAGGTGTTCTTGGCCTTAAACAAGATGGACTTAAACATGTGGGGCTTGAATAACCCCACAAAGGAAGGCTGGATGGGGGTAAGGCCCTCGTCCTCCAACAACTCTGCTTCCATCGGGTCTAAATCTGAAAAGGGTTCCCCATGGAAGGTGGATCCCCATTCAAGGTGCTCCTCCTCCCTGTATTGGTCTAAAATTTCCATTCCCTCCTCCGGTTCCCTTTCTGGAAGAGGGCTGGCCCCCCGGGAGGGTACCTGACCAGGAGCAGGGTCCAGGGCGGGCATGGACCTAGTTGGCACCGGTTCTTGCGCGGGAACCGTCTGAGGAAGGCTTGATCCGGCCATCTGCTGCATGCCTTGAGCTATCCCCTGTTGAATAGCCTGCTCCATCCAAGTTCTCATGTACTCAGGCATCTCGATCGTGGGTGGGTCCTCCTGTCTCATGCCAGCGGCCGTGGGAGTGAAGGTTGCTTCAGGCATCCGGCTGGTAGCTGGTCCAGGGTCGTGAGACTCCTGGGATGAGCTGTGCCTGGAGAGAGGGGAACAAACTGGAGGGGGGGGGTGCCTGGAAGTAGAAGGGGCGGCTGGGGGTGATGGTTGAGTCACCCTAGAGCGCCTATCGAACTCCCTCTCTAGTGCCTTATGACGCCTTAAGGCGTCCCTTTGAGAGGCCTTAGAAGTCTCCTGGGAGGTTTCCTTAGCCTGTTTGCGCACATGATGAGACTTAGATTTCGCCTTCAAAGAATGGCGGGAGTTAGGGTTATCATCTGCCATGGTAAAACAACAGAAGTATCAAAATGAATATATAGAAATATATATATATATATATATATATATATATATATATATATGTGTGTGTGTGTGTGTGTGTGTGTGTGTGTGTGTGTGTGTGTGTGTGTACAGGCGGTTGGCACACCTAGGATACGACCTGGGTAAGGCCGGGTATCCAGAAACTGGCCCGCGCCCCCTTTTGGAATTTGCAATGAATAATCTGAAAATATGACCAAAAAAAAAATTTTTTTTTTAAAAAAAAAACTGCCACAAATATAGACTTTTAATGTACAATTATATCCCACCAGGATAAGGATCCAGGAAAACACACTGCAGCGACAGTGATGGAAGCTAGGTCTCTCTAAGCAAATCTGAGAGAGAGAAAATGCCAATTGAATGAGATTGGATTACCCATGTAAGGAAATATGAAGATATTCTGTATTAGACTGAATAACAACCTGGCAGTTGGTAAAAGGAAGAGAAGCCAATCAGCCAAATCAACGCCAGCAATACAAGGCCTCAGGCAGCTTCCCCCCCTCAGGGAGGGAGTGGCTGCTTTTCTAAATCCCCACCCTGAGATCTGCTGCGGAAGCCAACACTTACACCAACCATTAACAGAGTAAAGAACAGCATTCTTTTTCCCCTCTGGGAGAGGGAGATAGAGAGATCAGCCCTACTAGGCCTGGGAGCCTAAGCCTAGGGCCAGCAGAACGTCGCAGCAATAGGAGGCCTGCAAAATGTCGCCCGGCCACGAGGCGGCGCCCAAAATGGCGGCCGCCTGGAAATCGAAAGTGAAAGGCAAAGCGGGCGGCTCAGGGTGGGTGCATCCTGCAAGCCACGAGGGCGAGGACGCTGAAATTGGCGTTAGTGGGGGGAAAACCAGTATAAAAAAGGCTCCAGACCTTAGAAAGGCACCAGGACAGCAAGGCAGGAAAAAAAGAAATAAGCGGCAGAGAGGGGGTGGGGGTGGGGTGTTAGCACTAAGTGCTGCTAAGCTGCCCGCCCAGTCCCCTGGGGGCGAAAAACGCACACCCCTAAGTCTCAAGACACCCCCAGATACGCAGAGGCTAAGGAAATAATAAGCTTAAATCAAACCTGAACTGAAGTATTATCCTGCTTGAATCAGCCAAAGAGTGGGAAGCACAATCAAAACACACAGCCTAACTCTGCAAAGGCTGGACATAAACTGGGAGGCTACAAGGGACCATGTGACAGAGGGCGGAGCGTTCCCTAATGATTAAGTCCAGCCTACACAGACGCAGACTGGAGCACCTCCCACTCTCTGGATGATCCGAGCAGCTCGAGGGAGAAGTGGTCTGTGGTCACCACCTGCAGAACCACTTCTTTATTGGGGATGTCTTGCTAACTGCCTATGCTTTCCACCTGTTGTCTATTCCATTTGCACAACAGCGTGTGAAATTGATTGTCAATCAGTGTTGCTACTTAAGTGGACAGTTTGATTTCACAAAAGTGTGATTGACTTGGAGTTACATTGTGTTGTTTAAGTGTTCCCTTCATTTTTTTGAGCAGTGTGTGTATATATACATACATACATACAAATAATAAATGGAATTCATTTCCCCAAAGAAGAGAAAATCTCAAAGGAGTACTTCTAAAATGGATGTTAAAAACCCATTGAAATTACAAGATAGCTTTTGCTTTACACACAAACAACCAAATTAAATAATACCTCTTCTTCTTCATGGTGTTGGATAAGTGCTTTGGGAGAAAGGCCATGGAGATGACAGAATTTAGATTTCACCATAATTGGAATATTCCCAAGGGTCTGTTTAATAATTCCTTTAGGAATTCCATTCACTGACCAGCTGATATCACCCTATACCGGAGGGAAAAAAAAGTTATTTTATTTAAAAAAATATGAACAAAATAACTTTGAAAGAGTACTGGGATTTCTATTCAAAGAAAAAAAACCCACTCTAAACTCTTGTAACAAAAAGGACTAAAGAATATTTATCTGCACTATATATAACACTTTTAAATGTTACATGCACAAATACACACACCCTGATTATTTATTTATAAAATTTATTGGTTGCTCATTTATCACAGGGTAACTTATGCTTATTAATACACTGATTATTGGAACATTATTCAGAAATCTGACTAAAAAATAGAAAATAGTTAATTACAGTGCAGACAGAGAATCTAATTAGGATCCATAGTATAAAACTTTACACCTTATCTATCAGAAAGAAGGCATAACCAAATTATATTCTCCAGCACTTAGAATCAAAATGCTTGCAATTTGTTATTGGATGTAAAGCCTTCATAATAAACAGCCTTATATGTTAAATATACTAGGTGTAGAATCATATTTCTTTTTCTGTTGGAAACTAATGTCACCCATTTAAATTGCCAATTGTAATTATATCTTATAATAATAAGTAGTTCCTGAATCTGCCACTACCTCATTTCACTGAATGACCTCAGATTCCAATGCTGCCAAAAAGGGAAAAAGATCAGCACCTGAGCTTTCTTTATTTGTTCAATTATTTAAACCAGGGCTCCCCAACCTATGGGCCATGAGAGATTTGCAAATGGGCCGTTGAAACGGCTGGTGTGGACAGGTGCGTGCTTTACATTTATGTAAACACAGGCTCGCGTGCATGCCACTTGTGGAAATGGAGCTGCACATGCGCACTTGCTGGCCACTTACGTGAACTATCCCTTCCCCCCACCAGTCTGCAAACCCGGAAACGTTGGGGAACTCTGCTTTAAATGAAGTTCTAAAACACTTGGAAGTATAAGAGCCATACTGGTGCAGGGATTAGAATGCAGTATTGAGGATCCAGATTGTTGGGGGCATCATGCTGACTCTGTAAACCACTTAGAGAGGGCTGTAAAGCACTGTGAAGCTGTATATAAGTTTAAGTGCTATTGCTATTGTAGATGAATTCTGCCATCTTCCAGGAGCTCAGTCATGACCAGCTCAAGGTGGACTTAACTTTCCATGTTTCCAAGGTTTGTAAAATGAGGACCCAGATTGTTGGGGGCAATATGCTGGTTCTGTAAACTGCTTACAGAGGGCTGTAAAGCACTGTGAAGCGGTATATAAGTCCAAGTGCTACTGCTATTTTATTCCTCTACTTACAGTCAGTTTCCCACGGTAGGTACTTCTACGTCCTCGACATTCTGCTGGATAAACTTTCAGCTCTTTACATATACTCCCTTTTGGTACCATAGGAGGGCTGATGGTGGCCCCTGAAAAGGCCAAAGTAATCCGATCATTCTTAAAAGCAAACTCCAAAGGAGGAATATCCTTTAAAAAAAAAAGCAATGTTTACCTTATGCCAATTAGAACTAGAAAAGATCTAAAAAAATCAATCCTGGACAGAAAGTATATTTTTATGGCTGGGATATCAAACAACCTTGTTTCAATGCATAGGTGCTTTCAAACTTTCTAAATCGTCAACTAGCACAAGCCATTCTGTCAGGCAACAAAGCAGAGAAACCACCCATCTTTTGTCTTTCCTGATTTGTAACTTTATGTCTAATAAGCCAGCTACAGGTGAGCTTATTACATTAAGAGTTGGTGGTGATGCTTTCTTTTCTTTTTTCTTTTCTTTTCTTATCCTTTTGTTTGTCAAGTCTTTTAAATTATGAGAGTTAGGAAGTCAAAGTGAGAGCCTTTTTCAGATGAAGAGTGGAATTAAGAAACAGCTCAAGATTTCATTCATGTGATATGTACTGTACATTAGTATAAACCTGATAAATGACTACAATAAATATGGTCTCACAGAGGAAAAGCTTCCCTATGCTGGAGCTAACCAATATAATGAACAGCCAAAAATCAGAGGAAAGAACATAGACAAGAAACGTGAATAGAGAAATATGAATTTACAAAAACATAAAAAAGTGTAAATTGACATTATAGCATGCTGGGGGTTGTTAACTCGCATGGCACTAGCATGGCACTTTTCTAGAAACTATATGAATTGCATCAAAAATTCCTTTCCCTCAGTTCTTGATTTACAACCAAGCTCGTTAAAGAGATCTGATAAATACAATGAAGATACTGCATCGCATAAAGTGCCTTTTTTCTCTAAGCACTATTTGATTTGTTGAGGAGGAATCTCCAAAAGGGGCCTTCTCTACAAGCAAAAACTTCACTTTTATATTGTTTTCCATCCCGGTTCCTTTTCGATCCCCCACTCCCTCTTAATCCGCTCCCCACCTCGTAGCAATGTTTTTTTTTTTTTTAATCTTTCCTCTCTTAATTTCTCACCTGCGCGGCACGGTTCAGTCCTTCGCTTACAGCGTAGTTGAACGACTCAATATGAGCCCGTGCAATATCCTGAAGGGCAGGCCTCTGTTGCTCTCTGGGCAGGCCGTAGTCCGACGCCGTAAGATGCTTGAGGCTGGGACTGTTGGGCAAATTCCTCCATTTGCCCGCAGCATCCATGCTTTCTTAGGTGCGAACAACCACGTGAGCCTTCCTCTTACCGGAAGAGAGATCGACATATGCGTCTTTACCTTCCTTCCCGCCTTTCCCCCAAAGCTTGCTGGGACTAGTAGTTGGCAAGGTCCAAGCAAGCGAGAAGAGCCTTCTATTCCCAGGGTGCAATGCGGTGAGTCTTTCCTTCTCAGTAAGACGGGGGAATAACTTTTAAGACCTCCGTCTTTGTTGCCACAGAATTGGATTTGGTGCCAAATTATTTAGTTTTAGTAATGCAAAGTGGAAAAAACTATGGGGAGGGTATAATTTTTTAAAAAAATCAGCTTCTATGGTGCAGAAAATACAATTTAGCATGGTGCTGGGAAAATCAGTCAAATCTTTATATTTAATTTGCATTGGCACAACTTTTCGAATAATTAAGTTGGAAGGGTCTCACGTATACAGTAATATATTAAGTTACAACCTGTAATTAGTAATATAACGAAGGACATTTTTCTGACGGCTGGAGGTTAATACTTTTAATTTGTAATGGCACATATCATGAAGGGCCGGGGGAGAAGTTTTATTCTGTTTTTTTTAAAAAAAAAAACTGAGATGCATATTTTAGGTCAACCTGATTGCTGCTCTGTGTTTCCTGCTTTGAGTAGCAGAAAATGGTGCTTCTGTTTTAATAGCATAGCTGGAGAGTTTCTAGGTAGCACAAAACGGGCTTTTATCACTACAAGGAGACCTGGTTTGTCTTCAGGGCAAAATAAAAACGTTCAATATTTTACTAAGAAAAACAAATACAGTGGAAAAAACATGCATTCCAAAAGTCATAGAACACCTTGTAGTCAGGTATAGAATAAAATAATTAAATGGGATATGGCTGCAAAGAAAACTAGCAGGGTTGGTATGATGGAAACGCATTGGATAGTGGTGGTTGTAGTTACATTTTCTTTTTCTTTTTTGCCTCATATGTTCAATATTTTTTGTCTTTCTATGTCTTACTTCTTTTCTGTTTCTTATCCTGAAAGGGAACTGTACGATTGGTATAAATGTAGGAAAGAAAAAAATACAAACACAAAATTCACAAAAAATAGAGAACAATCCAGACACAAAGCTATAATTTACTACTGTGATTTACATGTTAAAAGCAATAAAACAAGAACCTGCCACTCTGTAAAAGAGGGTAGGATCATTGGTATGGTGAACCCAGCCATCTGTTTACTGGGTTCATGGCCCTTCTAGTGTGTGAAGATTGCTTGGGAAATGTGTAGCTGGATTCATGCATTATGTCAACCCCCTTAGGGAGGGGGTGCCTTGAAAGAGGCTATAAAGTACACCTTTTTCTCAAGAAACTGAAATTTCAACAGTTCTCGACAATTTTCTTGAGTTTTCCAAACTTCTGATTCTAGGATTCTTTAGACTCTTTTCATTAAATAATTATACTTCATTAAATGTATAGTAAATGATGTCTGATTCCCAGTAATTCTTAGTTAGGTGTCAGATTGGGGCATATTATGGAGCACTGTTTGTCCTTGTTAATGACTTCAGATGGAGCCAGGATGAGAGTAATACAATCATCCTGGTTTTTTTAATCTCTCAATGGTTTTTAATGCCATGAATATACTATCTTGATCATCAAGGAGTAGACTTGAGGGCATTCTCCTGCAGAGTTTTTCTCCTTTCTTGAGCTGTTCCAGTCAACGGTGGCACCAGGGGGTAGATTTAGCTTAATGTCACTGATGTGTGGGCATCTGCTATTGCCCCTCATTTCACATCTAGATAAAGCCCTATGTCTGTAATCTATCAATTCAGAGTAGGTGTAAAGCAATAGAGGTAGCCATGAAAGAGCCTTTATCTAAACACTAGCGTAGCTCTGAAATGGAGAAATGAGACAGAAATGCAAGATTATGAAAATTGATTCTTTTTTATGTAAAAAGGAGTAAGAATCTCTATCAGGCTTTTCAGATTTTGTTATAGCCTTTAATAATAGAATCATTTAAAAAGTATTAAAATATGGCTGTATTCCCCCCTTCCTATATTTTGCTGTTAGAATGGATAATAAATCTCCTACTGGATTATGTATGTTGAGATGGTTGTTTTTCTTTTATAGATAGGCATTTTTCTCCTTTGTTATATGGGTTTTGTGTGTTTTTATTGTTGTAAACCACCCAGGGTTGCCATGGAGTTAGTCGGCCTTATAAATCTCATATAAATATTTATACAGCTGCCAGACTCTATGATTATTTGTTGTTCATAAATAAATAAAATCTATTATCTAATGGCTATTTTGTTGAATACTAGAGTAATTTTTTTAAACTTGCCAGCTAAATAAGCAAAAAAATCCTATGAATTATAAAACTAAAGGCAAAATAAAATCATTCGATAAAATTGTTTCATATGTAATGAAAAGGCAGAAAAACATACAGTATTTCAGTTAAGAACAGGGTAAGTACAGTAATATATGGATGAAGTATAGCCAAGAGGAAGGATGGCAGGAGTCAATTTAAATCATATTAGTATTCAGACTTTGTATGAATGCCAAGCAGAATCTGTTATTAAGCAAGTGACTGCTTAGTTTGAGAATATCAGTTGTCACTACAGATTCTGCAGGATCAGAGGAAAGTAAATTAAATATAATCACATTTTTATGTACTTTGTGGTATTGCCACATCTATTTAAAAAGGTAATACAATAATAAAACAAAGCCAATTTTAGGAAGATTAGAAAATGCTCTTAAAAGGCAATTATGTCATTTAGATGTATGTACCCATGCTTTCATATATTTTAATGCATCTTTATTAATTGAGGCACGCATGCATACATATGGTCCACAAATAAAGTCAGATTTTATTTTCTTAAATTCATTTAAGAGAGGTCTAAGTACAAATATCAGCAATACATGCATTGCTTACAGTCATACAGTATATTCCATCAGACACAAATGTATACAACCATACTATAACTTTCTGAAGACAGACAAAAAAATTAATATGACGTAACTTTAGAGAGAGTGTGTTCAGTTCTGAAGTTTTTCAAACAGTGTAATATGGAGGCCTGATCCCAGAGTTAATTTGGTTTGGAGGCAGAAACAGCATAAACATATTAGTAATTATCTGTATGCCATCCTCTAAAATTGTAGTCACAATATATTTTACTCTTGTTGGCACAGCTGTTGTAAACTAACACAGCTGTTGTAAATTAAACAACCTTTCCTACAAATAAAACAGTATCTTATGGTTACAGTAAACTTTCACTCATTACCAGTAGAAAACCTAATCTCTGAATAACTGCATTCATATTTATATTCATTTAATATTCTTAACTTTACAGCATATTGCATGTTAAGCACATACAATGGTTCTCTTTTACCTTATACTCTAAGAATAAAGCTAGAGGAGTTGTGGTAGAACTGAACCTAATGTCGTCTCCAGTTAGTTAAAATAACACACACACACACACACACAGAGGAGAAAATCCAAAGGAGGAAAGGATTTGTTAGTTTCTGTTATATTCTAATCTAGGAGATATTATTTTAAATATTTGCCATTTGATTCATCGAAAAGGAGCTATACCTTCATTTCAGTAACACTGTGGTGTAGCGGTAATTTTTTTCACTAGGAAGTTGATTAAAATCTGCCCTGAGCCACAAATGCTGTGGGGCTTTGGACCAGTGATGCCCTCTTAGTTCTGACAGGGAGATGGGGATGATGCACATGCTTTCTTAAGTTCCTAGAATGAAAGGCAGACTGTGCATGTATTTGAAAAAAATTAGAAATCCAGTAGGGGATCTACAATAGGGGAAAACTTTGGTATGCATTATGTGCATGTGTGTGTGTGCCTTGACTCCTGGCAGCTGCGTGGACTCATCTCTGCAGTTTTTGGGGGCAAGATTTGAGGAGTTGTTTGCTATTGCTTGCTTCCTGGGACTGGGAGAATGTGACCAGCTCAAAATCAAGCCTAATGCAAGCCCAAAATCAAGCCTAATGCAAAATTAGAATTCACTATCTTCCAGCCTGGAAAACTCACCAATAGAATTTCTGCCTACTATATTTGTTGAGGGTTTAATCACAATTAAGAATGCTGACAAAATTACTTAATTACTAAAAAATAATTAAAATTATCTTTAGATAATAGTCTATTATTAATCCATGGCCATTTTCTTTCCAAGTCTATTCCATCTGCAGACATCAGTTGGAGGACCCCACATAAATTGTTAAACAAAGCAAAACCAATTCAAAGGAGGTAATTAGTGGAAACAAATCTGATGTCAACCTGTGAATAACAGTTCAGTCTGATGGATGCTTATTTTTGAAGAAAGGGAGACTATTCTACATAGACTTTCATTCAAATTGTAGTTTGGTGCCATATATATTTACTATTTAAAAACCATTTTAATTTTAAAAACTATTCTTTTTTAGTGTCACCATCCTATTGGGAGGATATTGAGGGGATATTTCTTTTGTTTTTATCTACTAGTCCTCCTTTCTATGCAAATTCCCAAATGCCTCTTGCCCGTACCCACTCCTTCCAATTTCTTCTATAGGGCTGAGGGAATCCAAAGAGGAGGTTTGGATAGCCCCACCAGAGTGGAGTAAAAACAAAAGAGAAAAAAATCACTGTATAAATAATGTTTGTGTCACATTGTGTCCTTTACTCCATCAGCAAAACACACGGCTATGCCATTAATTGTTTAAAAGAATTGTGCATGTTCAAAGAGCTGAATCTTTGAGGGTGCAAAGAATCTTTATATACAAATCTGAAATATTTGTTTCAAGTATTTGGTGGGTATTTTGATCTTAAAACATCCCCAAATGAACTGAAATGACCTGTTTTATTCTTCTAATATCTGTTAGCAAATCCTCTGCAAAACACTGGTGCTTCATGGTAATTTAGTACCATGTCTTCAGGGAACTCTGTATAATTAAATAAAATGACATTAACAAACTTTGCAGTGCAGCTGTATTTAAAAGACAGAAATAACTGGTATTAACTTGAAAGGCACAGATATATCAGCTTACCACTAGTGCTTTATTCATGAAATGATTGGGCTTAGGTATTTATGTATTTATTTATTTAATTGACAGTTGTACATGTTCTTCTAGCAGTCTTCCTCAACTGTTATATCCAGAATTCCTCTCCCCATCATTGTCAAAGCATTACTAAAATATCTGGATATTGTACATGAACATTTGGACAGAACACACAACCTCATTTTTAAATGTTTGCTATAGAAACAAATCAGGTCCATTTATTTATTCATTCTTGAACAAACTTTCCTATTTAAGATAATATTTTGTCAGTATCTAGTATACAAAACTTCAATCACTTTATGGAACAAATGTTCGGAGTATATGAGTATTTATAGTTTGGTGATTTTACTACTTAAATGCTTTGAAGGATTGTAGATCCCCAGTTCCCTAATTCTGTTGGAATAAATCTACTGACCAAAGGATTTTCACTGCCTAATAAATACTAGCATGCATGATTCCATCACATTATGAAAGACACAGAAATCAGATAGTGTAAAATATATACCAATATCAGAAAAGGCCATACAGACAATTGCTTAAGGTGGAAACAGCCCTTTTAAGAGATTTTGTTTTAAATAATCAGGTGTGCTATTTTAATATTCCTGTATAAGGCTTTCCCAAATATTACAGTATTAAATATTGAGTCCAAAAGTTAAAAGTAAGTTCTGCATCTATGAATTCTTTCACAAAGTTATCCTGCCTGTATAGCTTCAGTTTTGCTTGCTGCCTTAATTTATACATGTATAAAGGAAAATAACATTGTACTACATTTTTTTGCTTATGCAAGGACTAATTACGAATAATACATAATTAAAGAAAATCATAGTTTTACTGACAGTTACATCCTGCCCCCCTCGCCGTTGAAATAACTCTATAAAAATAAGGAGAAAATTATAATTAATGGACAGATATGGCAGTATGGTTACAATAAACAGAAAAGTATGTTAAGAAACATGAACACTGACATTTCAGCATCTACTATGTAAAATGAGGCATATCCTAAGACACCTGGATGTCCATACAGTTTACAAACAAGAACTGAATGGCTGAAAGGATATTCCTCAGGCTATCAGTTCTCAAATTAAGCTTACCTAGTAAACTTAGGGCATTGCATAAAAACTTAGGACATTTACAATAGCTAGTTTGGTTTTTTATCCCACCTTTATTACTTTAGCAAATAATTCATGGTGACAAACATACCTTACACTCCTTTCTCTTAATTCTTTTAATGTTAAATAAACATGGCAAAGCAAACATCCTCAGCTGAAAAAAAAAAGTGACAAGCAAAAATCATGAATATTCCCATGCCTTAGATTTAGGAATACTGTATCTTTCCAAGCACTCCATATAATTTGTATTAGGCCAGCATTATTTCATTATATTCAGAGTATGTACTTGCAAATTAGTCAAGTCAAAAGCCTGTTATTCAAGAGGAATTCTGGGAGTTGAAGTCCACACTGCCAATTCCTTGCCTCTATCCGTCTAATATCCATGAATTCTATTCAGGATCACATTCTCTTCTGTGTAAGCCTTTTCTCCATTTTATTATAATTAATCAAATTATCATTCTGATCCAACATTTCTCCTTGGTTTTAAATCCTAATGAATTTAGCTGTCTTCTTGAAAATGTGGCTGCAAATTTTAAGCTTAAGCTTGTGTTAGTCAATACAAGAACAATACAATGTATACTCTGGATGTACATAGTAGTAGTAGTACTAGAATTATTGTAATTCCCATTCAATCTGAGTCACTCTGAGTACAATGGGTTGATACCTTATGAATGTAATAATTAGGACTAATACGGTAATCGTCTTCCAACAATTCCCAATATGTTACCCAATCAATTTTCCTTTTACTTCAATAGAAGCAAGACTTTTAACTGGTGATTTACATCTGCCAGATCACACTCATTGGTCCACTGACAAATGGCTAATTTCATTTCATCTTCCTAAGTTATAAAGCTGTCCTACAGCTTTGACTTAAAATATTATAGCATGCAACATGCAGTGGTATTTAGAATGACAATGTATTTATATGACATGCCTAACAATCTTAACAAGAAATATTAACAAAGTATGTTGTGGCTTCCTGAATTTTCAGCATAAGGCTATGATCTAAGTATCTGTAGGTAGTTTCAAATAACTGAACCTATTTATAAGTAACTACATATAAGTTCAGGATATACATTTTCAGTTAGTGTCTCCTTTTTTTGCTAAACATTCTGAAGGCACTAACAGATTATACAGTAGATTGTTTACAGTACAATATTTGCTATTATTTATGACACTTTCAGGTTTCCAAGGAATCATGATAGTGCAGTTATGTAATCTGAACTATTTTGCCTACCTCTTTGAATATTAAAAGGATACTTGCCTTAAATGTTTTAGTGTTTTTCCCATTGCATTTGGCCTGAGTAACATGTTTGCTTAAGACAGAAACTAGCAGTCTTGCAAGGAGAGAATTAATGTTTTATATAATAAATACATTAAAATAAAATTGTTAATTTTAGGATCAGAGGTCTGTTGATTCAGTGCTTTTATTAAATATATAAACTATGTCAGTGATAAGAGAAGTTATCTTCTCATTATAATAAGAGAATGCCCAATTTAGGGAGGTCAGGCATGAAATAGCTCTGGAAAAGTTCTATTTTAATATTGAGAAAGGATATTTTGCAGCAATAGGTTGTAAAAAATCACTTATGTTGCTTCATGGAGTGCATTCTTGCTGACTATAAGTTTGCATATCCACGTCAGCCCTAATTTTAGAAGAGGACCAATGAAATGAAGACATGAGTGATGTCTGGCCAGATTCCATTCTTTTCCTATGGACTGCCAGCAAGTTTCTTAAATCCAACCATTCTTCTATGTACTGTTTCTCTAGAAGAGCAACAGGGAGAATGCTGGTTCTGAGAAGAGTCTTCGCTTGTTAACTGCTAATGCATATTGGCTGGGTTCATGCATGGTACAATTTATTCAGTGTTATGTGCCACTTTTCCAATAAGACAAAACATTCAAAGTGGCTTTCAATTAAAACAGGGGTCTCCAACCTTAGCAACTTTAAGACTTGCGGACTTCAACTCCTGGGAGTTGAAGTATACAAGTCTTAAAGTTGCCAAGGTTGGAGACCCCTGAATTAAAACATGCTAAGCCATTACGTAGCTTGTTTAATTTGGCTCAGCTTATGCAAACCAACCAATTGTGATATAGTAACAAACTGTAGCATAGTACAATACCTTACCTTACCTGCATTATTGTGGGATTACTTAATGCTGGCAAGAAATGCAGAACTGGGATAAAACAGTTGCCCTACCACTTATTGGGGAGACAGGAATGACCTTCCCTAGAACTATGGTCTACTCTAGAACACTTTGCACATGGTTTTAACTGGATTTTCAATCATGATTTGGACTTGGTTACTATGGTTGTGATTAGCATCAGTTTACTCAGATTGGACAAATTAGAAAGAATATAAATTCACAAATGATAGACAAATGGAATAATGTGGACTTCAACAACCAAGCCATTGTTTTGCTATGCCAAGTGAACTGATATAAAATGGCTACTTAACCCGAATTCAAGCATGATTTATTGAATAATGGCCTGGGTTCCATGTATTGTGATGCCTTACTGGGTGAATTCACATATCATGGTCATCGCAATGCATGGATCCAACCAATATTTGTGGAATAAGAAAAGAATCAAAGTCCTTTAAAAGCTTCAATTTCACTATCTCAGAAACACATCCGTAAGGCAAAAAGACAAGCAAAGGGATGACATTTTAAAAAAACAAAGAAGAATATAATAGGATTTTGCAGTTGTGCCAGCTTGTCAGAAGAAAAAAAAGGATACAGTTTTGCAGTCTCCCACAGTTAGTTTGTCGCAAAGAATATCCTTTAAAAAAAAAAATGAACACACAAATAAATATATATAAAGGCAAAGATATTGAAGAAACTTCGTACCACGCAAAACAGGGCAGCTTTTCTGTTTTAGTTTAAAAGCAACATTGTACAAACAAAACAAATTAGGAGAGTTGTTAGGAACAAAGCTAAGGCACTAGAACTGCAGCAAGTAAAGAAAGAAAAGACGGACAAATCTTAGAGGAAAAATCTTCAGTCTCTCAAGGATACTGAAACTTGCATTTGCTAAAACTATTTATTAAATTAGAAGGAAAAAGATAAAGACAAGACTTGATCATACCCCTGGATTTTGCTGACATTTTAAAAAATGATTACGTTGTCCTCAAACATAAAGAAAGGCTTCAGTTACAGGATTTGTTATTGTAACAATGCTTTAAAACATTTAGAGTCAATGAGAGCTTTTTGGTTCATCTGGGGCTTTCCTCTGAAATGTTCCTCTTCTGAAATTAAAAAATTATGCCACTTTTTCCCTTCTTCTTTTTGGCATGATGTGCAGATGCAATGTTCAATGTTTCTTGGTCTTTCCTGGATCCAAACAGGTGGACGCTTTCCAATGTGTTCATTTGATCCTTAATTATGACAACTTTATAAATACAGATGGTAAGTTCTGTTTCTGAATAGTATCATTCAGAGGAAAGATACAAGAGATGGCTACATCTATGATACCTTGGCAAAGCTCTGCATAAAGTTTCCTAAAAACCAAAAGGTGGAAAACAGTAATTAAAATTACACTTGAAAATACTGATTAACATCTCAAACATTGATCCAGAATAACTACAGTCTTGGCCCTGTCAAAAAGCTGATGTCACAAGACCATTGATTTATTGATTTTGATTATACTCAGAAGTTTCCACATTTCTTGCTGAAAGCTACAGCAGATGTACATAAGATTTTAGTGTGGGTTTCTTTTTCTCCACAGGAGACAGGAATTAACCTCTCCCAGAAGACAAGAATAGATCTCAACTGTTAGTTCATTGCTTCTGTGCTCCTAACTTGAGCACATGTTACTTTATTTTTCACCGCTTCATAAACTGCAGTTAGAAAGATAGGCAGGGATATCCAATACCTGTCCCTGGAGGCCTCTGATGCCAGGGGCTACAAAGGAAGCCACTCTTTTTTCAAAGCCCTTTCCTTGTGGGGGAGGATTCAGATGCAAGGCAGTTGGGACTTGATTATGGTGCTGATGGATGCAATAGTGGATGACCCAAAGGGCCAGGTAGGATTCCAACCATCCTGTAGAAGATCCATCTTTATGAACTCTAAGTACTGACAACCATCTTAAAACAGAAGAATAGTAGGGTTGCAACTGACCTTGAAGGTCTTCTAGTCCAACATCCTGCTCAAGCAGGAAACCCTACACCATTTCATACAAATGGTTGTCCAATATTTTATTAAAAACCTCCAGTGTAGAGTAGAGCATCCATTACTGTTCTGTCAAATTTCTCCTTAGTTCTATGTTGATTCTCTCCTTATTTTTCATCCATTGCTTCTTATCCTGCTTTCAGCTGCTTTGGAGAATAGCTTGACTCCCTCTTCTTTGTGGCAACCCCTGAGACATTGGAACACTATCATGTCACCCCTAGTCCTTCTTTTCATTAAACTAAACATGCCCAATTCCTGTAACCGTTCTTCATATGTTTTAGCCTCCAATCCCTTAATCATCTTTGTTGCTCTTCTCTGCATTCTTTCTAGTCTTAATGTTTTTTTTATATAATGACCAAAACCAGATGCAATATTCCAAGTGTGGTCTTATGAAGGTATTATAGAGTGGTACTAATGTGATCTTGATTCTATCCCTCTGTTCATGCAGCCTAGGACTGTGTTGGCTTTTGGGGCAGAGGTAGAACACCACTGCCATTCTGATGACATGTAATCAATAAGCACTAAGAGGGTGTAGAATTCAGCAGATCTCCAGCTCATTGTAAAATCTCCACAGTGAGAGTTTTGGAACCTTCCTGAAACCAAACTTTTCATGTTGGGAATCACTGGGCTTGGAGACTGATAAAGGTGACAGTAAGAAGACTCTGATGTTGGATTTCTTCTTTCAAGGTTAGAGTCTTTTCTTTACCTCTGGAAAGCGAAATCCCAAAAATCCTATGGACATTGGGATATTGCAGCAATTAAAATTTGGAACATCATATTACTCTAAGAGATTGATAAAATCCCTTCCACTGTTTATCTATATCCTGAATTTAAAAAAAATCTGTTTATATGTTACACTGTGTTATTAATAAACTTACTTAGTTGCAATAAACTTGTTTAGTTGCATTTAGTTCATGGTTGAGAGCCCTGTTTATTTTTAATTTTATTGTGATTATCATTTATAATCTGTTAGTTGATCTCAACTAGGCTCATATATTTCAATTGAAAGGTGAAGATTTTGACATTATTATGTTGGAAAGAGAATAATTTTCAGGTTCCCAGTCAATCAAACATTCACAAGGATTCAAAATGAAGGTCAACAACCATCCCAGAAAGAGTATTAAACACATGCAGACAGCAGGTGCTGGCCATGGATCTAGGAATGCATCAAAACACTTGTTCTTTATCACTGGGACATTTGTTTTCCTGACACCAGCTGAAAATAGCATCTTGAGTTACTACAAACAGATATGAAATGCTAGTAATCTTTCAATACAATTGAGCTCTTGTCACAAAAGAGGGTTAGCGGTGGCTCATAGCTTCTTTCTCCTCTTTAACAGGGGAAGGCAAGAACAGCTTTCAATTAGTTTTCCAGTGAAGTAGGGGAAACCTGAGAAGGGAATGAATGGTAAATAAAATCACTGAGGAGCCTTTTTGAATTGATCCTTTTGCATTTCAAGGGATTACACTGGATTTCCTTTCATAAGTATGCAACAGTTGCAGTCTCCTTTGAGCTTCTGCCTGCAAATACTCCCAGCAGGATAAAGACCTAAAAGCAGTTACTTGGAAGCAAACGAAAAATATCCATTCATGCAGTTGCCACAAATGAAGATCATTTGCTTTCCAATAAGTCTTTTCCAGATTTCTGTAAGTACCTCAAATTCAGCCAGACTTGCGTTTATTATGCTCTAAGTGATTCCAAGAAAAATAGTAGCATATTATTTTGTATATGTTCTATATTCAGAAGACATAATCATCAACCTCACATTGCAAGGTAGGAAAATATCTCCTTGCCACAATACCCTGAGAAATAGCTACAGATCAGTTTTACGGAAAGATGAACCAATAGAAAAAAAAAACCCTTCATACATTAGGGTCTTTCCCATGTATTCCTTAGCAAAAACTCTTCCGTTGCCTATTTTTCATAGCTCTCTAGCCTAAAGCAAACATAAAGCACAAAGCATGTAGATTCCCTAAATTATAGTTTTGCTGTCTTACCACATAATTTTATTTGATCTGATTTCCTCAACGTAGCTGTTCCCTAGAAGAGAGGATAGTTTAGGATTGTCCAGGCAGAGGGTTTCAGTTGGCCATCTCCTGACCTTAGCTAGAATGAGCAAAAGTAACAGCCAGGCCAATGGATCTTGCCTCCTGTTAGCCATTTCCAACACATAAAATATTTGGGACTGTGAAAGACATTTAGAGCCAATCAATCAGGGCTGATTGGAGCACAGGCAAGGAAAAAATAGATTGTTAAGGGAAGGAGGAATATCCAAGAAAAGCAGGAGTAGAGTAGAGTAAAGTAGAGTAGGCTGAGCTGAGTTGGGTTGGGTTGGGCTAGGCTAGGCTAGGCTGTAATGCTTTGACCTTGGCAGTTGTATAAGAGTGCAGCCTCTAATGATGGCCTTTCAGAAGGCCTGAAGACATGGTTTTGCCTTCTGGTCTAGGGTAAAGATAGTGGTGCCAAGCAGTACAATAGTAAAATGGTTGTACTGTTCTGAATAGATTGTGGTCTCCTATTGACTGTACTGTGTGATTTTAAAATTGTTTTTAGCTTTTTATGCTTCTATGGCTATTATATGGGGGGGTGGCATTTACTATTGCTCAATTTTGTAAGCCACCTAGAGTAACGAAGTTGAAATCAGAAACTATTTAAATTTGATCAAATAAAGTAAATCCCAACAAGGAGGAAAAGGAGGGCGGGGAGCTAGAATCTATAGTCCACCTATCCCAATGCTGGCTATGGACAGCCTTATCAGTTAAAAACAGTTTTACAATAAAACTCTAAGGAAGACATTATGCCACGTATTCAAGGGAACATTTAGAAGGATGCTTACTGGGCACATGCAGGAGCACCGTTAACTTCAATTAGCCAAACTTTCAAGTCCTCATCCACCATGAAATCAAAACCAAAGAGCTGGAAACTCTGATAATGAAGATGTTTGGTACTGATAGCAGGTTCTATACACATAAGGCAGCTTCTGTAAATAGAATGAAATATTCCATCACTGAATTATTTTAAATTATGCTTTGTCCAACACCTACAATACTTAAATCAGGGTATTAAAAAGAAATGCCAATATTGAACACTGTATCTTTGCTTAAAATAACAATAAAGTCACTGAGTAGGGTTAGATGGTAGAATTTTCCCAATGAATGGGTTCACAAATTGCATTAAATCCATAATTTGGTTTTATACTTTTGACTCAACATTTTGTGTGAACAGTTAAGTATTTATCACAGCTTTCCAGGACCCGTTTCCCATTTGTTTTGGATTTGACTCCATATAACTGTACTGGTCAAAGTGGTGGGAAATTGTGAAAGTTGTGGTCCAGTATATCTGGAGCCCAATAAGTAGGATTTTAAATGATTTTGTATTCAATAGCTAAAATCTGTACTGTCCAAAATTTGCAAAACATACAATGAAATGGTCAATGGAGGATTTTTTTTAGACAGATAGTTAAGAGAAGACAAATCCCCCTATAATTGTCTAAAATAAAGATAAAGATTTCCCCTAACTATCTGTATCCAACTCTAGGGGTGGTGCTCATATCCATTTCTTAGCTGAGGGAGCCAGCATTGTCCACAGACCTTTTTGGTGATCCTGTGGCCAGCATGGCTGAGAGCGTGGAATGCTGTTACTTTTCCACCAAAGTGATATCTATTTATCTATTCACATTTAAATGCTTTCAAACTGCTAGGTGGGCAGGGGCTGGGTCAAATAATGAGAGCTCATGCCATCTCAAAGCACTTGGTCTCGAACCTGGACTGTCAACTTTCCAGCTGACAAGCCTAGTGTCTTTAATCACCTAAATTTTATTTTAGGAACTGTATTAAATGTTTAAACTTTTCACTTTAGCACAAATGGTTTGCAATCAGCATTCCATGGCAGGTAATGGACTTAACATGATGCAAGTCATCCTGATGATACACATTATGGATTTTTTATGGAAGGTGGACTTGCTATAAAGTAAGACGCCTAGAAACTCTGTGACTGATTAAACTTGCCTTATAGTATATACATACAAAATGGTAGAAACTTTAATTACAGGTGGTCCTCAACTTACAACCATTTGTTTAGTGACCGTTCGAAGTTAGCAGTGAAAAAAGTTACTTCTGACCTCTTTCCCACTTACAACCACTGCAGTATCCCCATGGTCAAAATTCAGACGACTGGCAACTGGCATGTATTTACAACAGTTGTTGTGTCCCGGGATCACGTACCACAATTTGTTACCTTCTGGCAAGCGAAGTCAGTGGGGAAGCCAGACTCACTTAACAGCCATGTTACTAACAACTGTGTTTCAATTAGCAACTGTGGCAAGAGAGGTCATAAAAGAGGGTGAAACTCAGGCTATCTCGCTTAGTAACAGATATTTTGGGCTCAATTGTGGTGCTAAGTCAAGGACTACTTATAATGGAAAAGGAAATTGTTGGGTATTCTTAGAATTGTTTTCATGCAGCAAAAACATGGAGATAAAGCCCATGTATATTAAATATCGCTGCAAATAGAAAAAGAGGCCTCTTAGCCTCTAGTCTCAGGTTGTTAAGAGTGCAGATAATATATGAATAATAGCTGTGCAAAAAAGTTACTTGTAGATAGGCTGGGATGAAAATAAAAGAGAAATACATACCTTATTATATTTTTGACTTGCAGTAAGATTGTATTTTCTAAAGTAATGTTCAAAGTATTCATCAGGTACTGATTAAACTCTTCAAAAAACATTTCATTCCCTTCTTCATATCTCCCATAGTTTTTAGAATATTCTTTCTGAATGCAGTGATTGGTCAAATGACAGGTTTTGTCCAGGAAATTATCACTATTGTAAGGTTCTGAAGAGGTCCGTAGAACACCTTCTCTATAGAGGTAGATACTATACTGGTGATCCACTAGGACCCAACTTCTGAAAGTTAAAAAAACACAACATATTACAGTGTATAGTTTTAAAAAAAATAGGTAACATGATTCAAAATCAGAAGAATTAGATTTAACAAATATTTGACAGTATGTGGTAATTAAAGTGAATTAAAAAATAAATATTTACATAGAACTAAAAACAGCAATACAAATGCACATATCCAATGCATTTGAACAAACCTAAATTGACAGAAAATTAATGAAAAGCACCTCAGATACCAAATATTTTTAAAAAGAAATTATTACCTAATATCAAATTTGCGATGACCTGGTTCTAAGAGCATAGGCTTCTCCAGGTATTTTTGAATCACATGCACTTGTCCTTGATTATCTATAAAATCCAGAAGTTCAGTAGCCTCTGAAGAAATAAGAATTCCTTCACCTAATTGAAAAAATAAGGGGTTGGATAGAAAAGTACTAAATAAAATATCAACAATCCAACCCTACCATTCTTCAAATTGTAACTCAAAATATTTTTTTGGAGTTTAACCTATAACTTTGGATATCAATAGAACAAATAAGAGAGTACAGGGATGAACTGTGCAGTCCTTGGTGATCTCTGAGCTAGATTGCTTTCTTGTAGGTATTTCATTACCTGGCTGGAGCATAGCGGAAATCAAGGGACTACCAGGAGAAAAATATACTCCCACCAACACTGACAGGGCAAGCTCTGTATATAAACAGAGAGCAAGTATCATTCTCTTCTAGCACTGAAGGTGTTACCTAGCTAGGTAATGAAAGATCTGCAAGAAAGATCAATTTTCTAGGCCCCTAGTATAGTAATAAAGCTTTGACTGCTGTTGCTGAGCCCCAAAAAGCAGGCTTGGTTACTTTTCTCACATAACTCTCTTTGTCAGTGGAGTCGTGGTCTCAACAGATCTGCAAGAAAGTTACTACACAATATTTGACCTTAGGGAAGGGAATAATTTTTAAATTGGCTTTAGTATCAGTCTCCAGATTCTGTTATGCTAAATTATCCTGGCTGAATTTGCACATCAAGCTATACCATGGTTTATTTTACCCATGGTTTCTCAGATAGGCCATGTATTGCTAATGTATCCCAACAAGCCCAAAATTTGATCGAAAAATGCAACAGTTGAGCTCATGAGACACACAACAAACACACCACATTGTGGCTTAGTACCAAATAATAATTTACCCATGGAACCCAGGAGAACATGTCTGAATCAAAGCCAATCAGTGATTGAATAACAAAGTTGGCATTTGAATATGAGATATTTTTTATTAATAAGCCATAGCTCTCTAACTTCTCTTGGATAAATTAAAAAAACGCATTCCAGAGACTTTGTCAGAAATTAACCTTTGGCTCCTGCTGAAGATTTGGCTATCCACACATTTCCTTCTCCACTCTCTTTCCTCTTCTGATAGGATGACAGAAAGACTTCTCTTTCATCTGTTCTTGTGTTGTTTATCAGATGATGAAGGCCATTCTCAGCTGGAGCTACTGGGGTCTTCAAATTGGTTGGATAAATCACATAGGATTCTGGAAACCACGTGCAAGCCTCCACCAATTCAGGACTTGTCTTGATTAATCTACACACACACACACACATGTGGGGGGGGAGAGGGAGATTTTATATATAGATATATATATCTTAGCTGGTCTTGTTGATTTAAACATCTTTCATATTACTGTGAATTGCCTCCAACACAGGGGTGTGCATAAGCGCACCAACGTGCCTACTGTCCCTGTCTTAATGTTTCCTTTTATTCATATCTATTTCATGTATTAGTAATGTTTACATGGGAAGTAATTATTGTATTTGTGAACATGATGATCCTGATCTTGGGTGAAAGGTAGTGTTTTGATAATCTTATCCCTTACGAAATCACATTCTAATTGTATTACCGTAAAGCTATTTTAAGGTGGCAGCCAATGTATTTCATGATGCCTGATACGTAATGACCTGCACAATTTAACTGTCTCCTAAATGAATATATCCTTTTATCTATCCCCAAACCTCTCACCATTCAACCTGGTTAGAATTGTTCAGATTTGATGTTATAGAGAAAAAGAGAAAAAACATCTTTACACTTTTTCCATATTATAAGAAAATGAAAGCAAGCTTCACTATAACCGCCAGCATAAATTTTATCTTCCAAACTGTGACAAGTTCATTTTAAAAAAAATTCACCCTAAAATGACTTTGCTAACAATCAGGTGTTATTTTCAATCAAATGCCTTGATAATTCTGAGATAGACTTCCCCACCCAACTTGCACTCTCGAAATACGTTGAGCGTATAACTTTAAAACTCCCAGGCATTATCAAATAAAGTTTTGGATGAAGTAAATGGTGAAATAGCTGTGAGTGAAAGAGCCAAGATGATACCATAGCAATGACCTGGCACCAAGCTCAGTTTATCAGAATCTTTCTGAATAAATGAGAGGATGTGAGATTCTTCTCAGATGGCTATTGTTCATAAGGAGACTTCAGGTTAGTAGTCATCCTGCTGGTCAGGGGTGCCCAAACTTGGCAACTTTAAGACTTGTGGACTTCAATTTCCAGAGTTGAAGTCCACAATTCTTAAAGTTGCCAAATTTGGAGACCTCTGCTGCAGGTCTTGGCATCCAAGAGACAGAAAACCATCAAGCTCTTAACAACAGAGCCTTTAAGGATACTGGATTTTGGACAGTCTTTAAGGACACTGGACCTTGTTTTCTAATCACCCCAGGATTTACAATTATTTTACAGTTAAGAGGTCTTCCAAAAAAAACAATTTGCAAAACTACATGGTAAATAGGTAGTGTGTAAAAACTTCAATTCAGAATAGAATAAAAGCTAACTAGTAACTTAATGCAAAAAATGGCATAAAGCTGAATAAGAATTTAATGGATTAATGGACCAGACAGTTTTGGTGAGCAACAATATTCTACAAATAATTGGCTGGAAAAGACTGGTTTGGAATCAAATTTACCAACAGTTTAAAGAAGGTATTCTTGTTGTGCCAGTTAAAATTTCTGAAAACCAAAGGGCAAAACTGCTATATATTTTGCAAGATTTTTAAATGAATCCTAAAACACAGTAAAACATTTAGCAAAGCCCACAAGCATTTTCTTTTATGTTTCAAGAAAGGTCAGAGGTTTGAAATGCCAACCAGAATTTAATGGATTTCATATCCTTAAGGCTTATTAGTATATGTAAATCAACAGAGCATAAAGGTTACATATAATCCAAATGTGTATTATCCATTAAAACATGCCCTGTAGGACTCCCTTTCACTGAAAGAGAGTGGCCCATCATGCAATTTTTGCCAAGCAGCACAATTCTAGAAGCATTATAAAGTAATACCTTTAGCCATATTATTTATTGATTCTTTAAAATATATACATTTGGCTTTTCATAGCCTTACAAGTTGAAAGAAGGCTCCACCTTCCAGAAAAGTATTTGTTTTGCTGCTATTAAGGAACATGAACAGAAGGTTATCAATTATATTCAAAACTCATTCCAGTTCCCAGGATCTGTGACCTGAAAGTAATTACCGAGCAGCCCTATCTGAAAATGAGGCAATGCCAGTTTGAAGTCACAAGGCTGCAGGAAATATCCTGTATTTGAAATTAATTGACAGTCAAATGGCAGCACCGAGAAAGTAACCAAGAGGAGAATTGCACATGTATCACCTCTCCTGCGGGAGCTGCATTGGTTGACGATTTGCTTCCGGGTGCAATTCAAGGTGCTGGTTGTCACCTTTAAAGCCCTTCATGGCTTGGGACCAGGTTATCTGAGGGACTGTCTCTTGCCGGTCACATCTACATGACCCATCAGAGTGGGGAGGCAGTGAATGCTGCGGGTACCATCGAGTGAGATATAGAAGAAGGGACCCAAAAGAAGAGCCTTCTCCATGGTGGCTCCCTCTCTCTGGAACATCATTCCTCCAGAGATTAGAATGGCCCCACTCTTACATGTAAACAAGCAAGCAAAAATATCTTACCTCACCAAAGAAGCTTTTCGACAAAGTTTATCAGCCCCTCTGTAGTAGTTCACCAACTGTGTAAGTCCAGGTTCATGACCTATGAAAAGGGAAGGTTAATATCCATGTTGTTTGCATTTTGAAAATCTTTTAAACAAATATAAACAAGCATTTATATAGATAACACCATTATTATACCCTGTGCATCATGCCCGGCCACATACATTGGACAGACCAATAGAAGAATAAGTACCCGCCTGGATGAACACAAAAATGCAGTAAAAAACCTGGAACACACTTCCTCACTAGTCCAACACATGAAAGCCACAGGTCATAGCATCAACTTCAATGGCACCAAAACCCTAGCCACTATAGAAAAACCCCAGCCACAGAATTATCAGAGAAGCCAGAGAGATTGAAAAAAGACCTGAAAGGATGAATAGAAGAGATGATTCCACCAGACTGTCAATCATTTGGAAGCCTGCACTCACAAACAAAAAAATCTCCACACCACAAGCCAGGCAAACACCTGGGCACAACAGATTTCCCCTTGATACCTCCAGCTCAAACACACCCCAACCAGGCACCCAGATGAAACCTAGCTTCCTAACTAATGATAGCCATCCATTTACTCGGAGCCAAGCTGCACTAAAAGCCTCCAATACAGGAACACAATGTTGCCAGCCAATCAAGATACAAAAAAAAGCCACAAAACAGACAGAAGATATTAGAAACACCAATCAAGCAGAACACAGCAAACTCCAAGACCAATAAACACAGACCAAGACTCCCAACCAATCAGGATGAAGAAAAAAACATTCTGGCACAGCAGTAGGCTAGCCCCAAATTTAAAACTGAAACAATCGTAAAAGTCTGACTCACAGACGAACACAATACAGAAGCCTGATGATGGCAGATGAGATTCTGCTGAAACGTTGCTACAACTTTAAAAGCACAACTATAATTACGTGGGAAAATACCCGAAAAAAAGCTGAATACCATACATGTAAGTACCCGTGAAAACTTAAGAAAACAAACACCATTATTAATCTCCACTTTTAAAAATAAAGGTTTTTTACTGCAGAATTTTTAATATCAGCAACTTGTATATCTTGCATATATTTGAGTTAAATACATATTGTTGGAAGATGATTAAAACCTCTCCCCAAAATTATGCATGGGCTAATAAATAACACTATCTAAATAGTGACAGGATATTGCTAACCATCTCTATCTAGTTCCAGATCAACAAAAAGAATGTGAAGATTTCCTAGAAGAAATTAGATCCCCTATGTTTTGCTACGCTTCACTGGAAGACAACCTGTTTACATGCAATATCACAGATTCAGTCTCTAACACCTTGAAATGTGGGTGATCTGTCAGCAGATGTTGGGAAGACCAGCAGGCCAAAGGATGAAGATCACAAACAGAATGACTTTTTGATTCCTGGGTTGCACTCATTGATGCTGGAAATCATTGGCAAGCAACTCAATCACACTGAACTTAGGCATCTTATTATGGTATCTTTGCTTAAAAATGAAGGCAGTTCTTTTATGGAAGTCTGAATTGCCTCAAGCATGCATCAGCAAATCTTTCAGGGGTGGGTTTTTTTTTTTGACCAATCTTGGATGAATTTTCAATGAGCAATTCCTGCAAAGCACTCACAATACCTTACCAGGAACCAGGGGGGTCTTGAAAAGAAATTGTTCTGATCATGTTACATGGCATGTTTTGATTTAGATCTAGGTTTAACTGTATTCAGCCTTGCCCACCTTTTGGGGGTGGGGGGGCTGCTTGAAGAATTTGACAAGATTAGAGAATATATAACTGACGCTGGAGCTTCATGCTCTTCAAAAGAATACATTATATTCTTGCCAGAAAGCTTTTATTCTATTTTCTTAATCAATTCTGATGAACTGAAATTTTAGATGCAGAGACTTTGATTTGTCACTTATGGCAGAAAAACCACACCTATTGATCTTTTTCTTAAATTAAAGTAAAGGAAATAAATCATTGCAGCTTAAATATTTTGCTTCTCATTCTGAAAATCCCCAAAGATTGTTATGTTTCTTCAAGTTTTTTGTCTTTTAGGTTCTCACTTTTGGAGGCTGTAATTCATTTTTGCAAAACTATAGCCTTTGCTTTCTTACCTATTCTGCAACCCAATCTTCCCTTCCCTCGCATAAATATCTCTCATCTCCATTACTTAAAGATAACATGCAGCAGTTATACTCCTGTTTTGAAACTGTGTCGAATGCCTCAAAGTTTCCAAACCTGAACAAATTGCATCATCATCTTTGAATCTTATTCAAAGACTAGTAAGTCCAGTACCATTCTTGAAAGGTGGACGTAAACAGAGACATCCACAGATAACCACAATTATATAGAAAAAGATGACAGCCATGCAACAATGTCAGGACAATGTCAGTCTCAACACTGGAGACAAGAATATAAGTCATAAGGTTTGAATCATGACCTCATAATATAATTTTGTCGCTTTCTCCCTGCTTATGATGCTGATGGGCAAAAAGCTTCTGCTAATGCAATCCATTAGTCTTTTAAACAGACCCCTCTCACTGCTGACTCATGTTACTGGATCCTCAGTTCTAATTGCTTTGATTCTGCTGGCAAGCTGCTCAGATTTTGCTTTTAATAATTTCATTACTTTTTGATGCCTTTTTCATTTTATTAATTTTTTTTCTTCAAGTTTCATATGGGATAGAAAAAAACTCAGTTTATCTTTTCTTGATTTGTCAAAACCAACATGGGCAAGCTTTTCCAACCTGGCAATCTCCAGCTGGGTTGGAATATTTGGAGGCAGCTTAGCCTTGCAAAAGCTTGTGGCTGACCCACTTGTTAGACTTAGCTATGCTGGCTAGGAATTCTGGGAACTGCAACTCTAAAACAGGTGGAGCAGCATATTGGGTTAGGATGGGTGGTTATAAACTATCGATATTATGGCTGGGTAGAGCAGAAAGCTGCTTTCACACAAGTTGGTAACTCCTCAAAGCATCCATTTTCCAGGATGACGAGCTATCAGTCCTCACTCCTCAGCCCTCCAGAGCTGTGATGTGAGCCCAGAAAAAGGCATGTTTGGTTTAAGGACTTGCAAAACGGTGCCATATTCATGTATTTCTGCTTCAAACCCAGAACATGACATTTCAAACCCAGAACATCTTAATAATAAAATCATTGTGCCAATGCACATTGTGCCCTTGTTACCACCTAAGCAAGATTAATCAAATCACTATCCTCTCGAGATCAAGAGAAACCTAGCAGGGAAGACAACCTGAACTAGAAGTCACTGCCACCATAATAGTTTCTTTAACATCAGGGAGCCTGCTAATTCCTTTGCTAGTGAGGCATTCTGTGAGCCCATTATCCCCAAATTTTTAACGTAGAAGCAGAATCTGAAGAAGAAATAAAATGTAGGATAGCTCAGCCTAACTAATTCCTCGCTAACAGGACTGTTGCATTTAAAAGAGAAATCAAACGATTTCCTAAAATCTATCAATTCCCAGCCTTGGTATCATTAACAGTATATAGATGGGGGGAGCGGGGAGAAAAAAACAAAATTGATTGCCAAAGTAACACAGATACCCTTCTTGGCCCAGAATTTGTAGTCGTTCCATTTCAACCATAGTGTGTCCGACAATGGAACCACACCAACATTTACACTACCATGAATGTTTTGTAGCATAAATGTTCCACAGGATTTTGCCTTCTGCCGAAAAGATGATTTACGACTTGGTAACTGCAGCTAAACATACTCATGCATAATGAATACTTCTCTTAAATAAGCATATTTTTCTTTACATTAAACTTTTTGCTGTGGCATTTTATTTTGCTTACTCATATACTGAATAATGGCCATCAGCACAAAAAAGCACGCAATCCATTATACAGTCAGAATGTTTATGACATTATACACCCTGGCATTTGCTAGAGCACTCATCCTAATTTAAAATTAAGCAACAGTATCACTTAGCGGCTGACTCCAAACTGATGTCCTCCAGATGTATTGCACTCTTAATTCCTCATACTTCCAGGCCAGGGGAGACAGGAAGGCCGAGTTTTAGGGTGGCAGAGTCCAATTACCAGTTTATTTCATTCCAACTTCAAAAACAGGAGCAAAAGTATTATTATTTTTTTTTAATGATGGCTAAGATTTGCAGCAGGTGTAAATCACAGAGCAGATACTTTTTTGGAAGGAGGTACAGTCAAGGGAGCAGAACAATGCAAACAATCTCATAAAATCTCAGAAAATCATAATACCCCAAGGCAGTTTCAATAATTCTACCCCTTCTTTTAATAAATGGGTCATAAGGTCTTGTTTGATTTGTTTAAGTAGGATCCAGTTCAGTATAAAAACCACAGCTGCAACGTTATGACCATACATTTGTTTTGAATTTTCTGTTTTACTACCAAATTCAAAGGAGAGGCAATTTTTTTTGTCAAACAACATAAAATTTCCAGAGAAATATTAGTGTTAAACCACTCTAAACATCCTCCACAAGAACAGTGTTTGGAAAGCAAGAGGTATGTCTATATCAAGGGTCTTCAAACTTGGCAAGTTTTACTAAAGGACTTCAACTCCCAGAATTCCTGAGCTAACATGAATGGAGGAAGAATTCTGGGAGTTGAAGTCCACAAGTCTTAAAGCTGTCAAGTTTGAAGACCCCTGGTCTATACTGAATAGAAATCTGTAAGTTGCATGTAAATCAGTTACATCTTTCCAATTCAAATGTAACGAACCATTTTTCAGGAACTAAGAGTGAAAAGCAGTTCTAGAGATCTGTTAGTCCTTTAGGTACCACAATTCTCTGTTGCTTTAAAGCAGGATTTTGGGTATGATTCAATACTTTTTACCGGTTCTTGCAATATTTTGCATTTTCTAGGTTGTTTTGCTTTCTCCTCTTTTTTTTTTCACATCCTCAAAAACATGAGCTCCCTCACCTCTTATACAGGTTAAAATAGGTTGGCTTTAGTTACGCTTTCAGTGTACAAACTTTTACACTTTTTACTTTTAGTTAAATGTTTTGTTAAATATTAGTCTATTGGTTCAGAGCTCACCCTCTGGAGCATGCTTTCTTAAACTTGTTTTTAGGCTATAATCATTATCGGTGAGCAAGAATGGAGTCGTAGTCAATTCATACATTGGGAGGATACAAACTTGGGAAAGTTTGGAGAATCAAAAGGGGCAGATTTGTTCTAGTGTTTAATTGAAGATAGTTATGCTATTACCTTCAGTGGTAATAAATATCCTTAGCTAAGCATACTTATAGGACTTGGTCCCCCTGTTCCAGTCATTCCAGGTAATTTTCCACATTCAGCAAGTCATACCATTGTAGAATTAAAAGAAGCCAATATGGACCTGAGGTTCAATCTGCTACATCATGCAAGAATCCAGATTAAAGCATCTCTTAACAGATAATTGTCCAACCTCTAAAAAAAATCAGAGGAGAGCACAGCCCTCTCTTAACAATTGCCTTTATTTCTGGATTAAATCCAAAGGGACCTCCAGATTAACCATACATATAAATGTAAAAGCAAAACCTTTCAAGTTGAGCTCAATTCTTTGTATCTAAAAGAAATAACCAAGTCATTTTCTTGGCAGGAGTTTAATAGTAATTTGCAATTGTCCTGGGGGATGGAGTATGGGTTTTGTGACTTCAGTCTTAGCTATAGTCCTAGAATTCTCTAGAGGTGCCCAGCTAAGTACTAACTAAGCTCAATGCAACTCAGCTTGTGAGTTCAACCAAGGCCATCCAGAGGCCTGGGTGACTCTGTTTCCTTCTGATGCCAGCGAAACCTGCATGCGTTTAACAATAAATGGAATGATTGTTATGACTTTCTAACCTCACAATAATTTAAGCCGCCACTATATAAAAGGGAGCCATTCTTTTTCTTTGTTTTTGAAAGGCTAATGCAGAGTCCATGAACTGAATTTTAAAACAGCCCACTTGAAAATAAGCCTCTTCTTTTAAATTATAGCCAGAGGCATCTTTCAGTCCAACTCCCTGAATTCTCAATCAGTAAGGCATAAAACTTTGAACTGCACTGCTTATCCACTTTTCAGTGGAAGAAAATGGATTCTACACATTTCTTCCACTGAAAAGTGAATCAACATCCAAGTAACTGAACCAATAACTTTGAACAATTCAGTTCAAAGTTTCATGCCATACAGACTGAGAATTCAGGGAATCGGACTGAAAGATGCCAAGTTAAAGAAGCCTGTTGCTTATTTATAAACGTTTATTGCTTTTTTTGATTTAATAATTGTTAATATTTCTCAAAGATTATCCCAGGGTGGAAAAACATTTCACAATTCACTTGAATAAAAATCATTGTAAAAATCCATTATATTCATAATCCTGGCCTCAGTCACAATTTAAGAGACATGTAGCACAATACTACATGGATCTACTCAAAGCTAAATCCCATTTGAGGTTCCTGGAGCTTGCTCCCAAGTGAATGGGGATTGCAATACTAAAACACAAATCAATGCATACTCTAATATTCTCAATGGGTTATGGAAATTAGAAATCCTTAGAGATTTTTCCCTCTGCCTTTATTATGAATCATTTCAAGGAATATATCCACTCTTTAAAATTCACTCCTTATAGAATATCCAGTCTGTAGGCTATTTAAATATACCCAGTTCAAAGCAATTTGAAGAAAAAGACAGATAACTTGATGCCTGACTTCTGACACAATCATGTTCAATAGTCTGCTATTGGTGAGCAACATAAAGTATTATTGAAGAAGCAAAAAAGGAATTTTTTAAATGCCAAAAGGAGTCAGCAAAGTTGTATTCATACTGGAAAAAAAATCACTGACATACCAATTTGAATACAGCATCAATTGTTACAAAAGCTGTAAAAACTATTATAATTTTATTATGATTTTAGATATCTATTTTCCAGGGGAGTGAATATATTGTTGCAAAATAAAGATATCGGTAACAATGCTAACTTAACAGATGATTCTGTCCCGCTTTAAACAAGAAAATACAAACAAACATATTCAGTATCTATATTTCCCAGCAATATTTTCTAACCCCAACAGATATATATATATTCATCCACCCTTTTCACAACCTGGCATCCAGCTAGTCTCATTGGCTTGCTAAGGATAAAGTCATTCCTAATGTTGCAGCAGGCAACACCCCATTGCTAACACCTGCAGACCCCGGTTTGGCAGGCGTTCCCTACCGCACCCCTCTCGCCAGCACTTCCAAACTTCGGTCGCCGCATGCAGATCAGTGGGGTCTTGGGAGGCCGATCAGGGGCCGGGGAAAAAGCCCAGACCCCCTTTTTTCCCCGACGAGCTCCGCAGAAAGGTTGCCTCAAGCTTTGCCCCCCCCCCCCACCCGCGACCCGGCCGGGTGTGCCCAGGTTTCGCGCGTGCGGCATGCTTACCCAGCCTCCCGAAAGGCAGCCTGTTTCTCTCGCCCAACATGAGGTTGAATCTGGGATTATCTCTTTTGAGCCTCTTCCATTGTCCCGTGGAGAGGAGAATCTTGGAGACTTCAGCATAGATGCTGCTGTTTTCGTCTCGCACCACAAACGTGTACATCTTTTAACCGCAGGTCTCAGCCTTATAGGGTGGTGGGTGTGGGGGGAAGCCACCGGTCACTTGGAAGCTCGAGCTGGAAAACCCTAATTAAAAGGGCATCAGTCTCGCCCATTCACGCAAGCCGACGTCTCTCGGCTGCCCTTCAGGAGAAATTAAAACCGGCATCGCAGGAGGAGGCGCTCCTTTGCAGCTGGGGTGGCCGCCGCGCCGCGGGCTGCCGTCTGCTCCGGGTGAGGCGGCAGCTGCGTCCCCGGCTGAAGGTGGTGGGGGTGGGGGGGAAGAGGGTCGCTCGGCCTGATTTCCCTCGTGAGCCGCGCCCGAAAGAAAGCCGCTTCAACTCTCTCTCGGAGAGCCGCTCCTCGCCTCAACTCTCTCCAGCACTTCCTGCAGCGCTGCCTCACATGCTGACGAGGCGGCGGCTCAGCATCCCAAAGCGGCGGCCGGGGCAGAGGAGCTCCCGCCGAATCCGTCCAGGTTGCCCGTCATCCGGAGGACGCTGACAAGCCCGAACCGTCGGCCCCCTTTGCGGCAGGCGGGTAGCCGCCCATCTGTGGGGTTGCCTTGTGCTTTTGGACCCGGAGGCTCGCCCATTGCCATGAGGACTCCACCCCAGCGGGGCCAGCGCCGAAAGAGGCGGATCCAGCGAGGGGCCGAGCCTCGGCGGTTGCCTCACGACGCAAAAAGAGTAATTGAGTCGCGCCGCCCTCTCAGTTCCCCCGTGAGGAGGAGGAGGCTTCCCGTGCGGTTAATTCGGAGCCTATCCAGTTTCAAGGTGGAAGGAATGGCGCCGGCCTGCGTAAGGCTGGTTTGGGAGAGGAGAAAAAAAAAATACTTGGTCTAATTCTTCATCCAATAAAGTGGAAAAGGAGGATCCGGGTTTTTTTTTTTTTTTTGCTGCCCGGCCCATCACACGCAGCCGGGAGGAATCTTGCCGCAATCTGGCCCAGATTATAGATTCTTTCGGGTGATCGTAAAAAAAGAAAAAAGAGGAAAGACCCGCCTGGCAGAGCATTGCTGTGTTTCGATTAGCATTGGTGGGGAGGGGAGTGAAGCGTAAGCATGGAGCGCAGAGAATAGGCAAAGCGGTGTTTCTCAACCCAGGGAACTTTTAAGACTTATGGACTTCAACTCCCAGAATTCCCCAGCTAGCAAGGATTTCTGGGAGTTGAAGTCCATTCCTATGAAAGTGGCTGTGATTGAGAAACAGTGCGCCACAGTAATGGGTGTGGCTTGTGGGAATTGGGTCCGCTCCCCTCCCTTCTGTGGTTGACGTAACTGGAAGCCCCCCTCAGGTCTTTTCCCAAGGAGGGAAAGGACGCGAGGCAACCCGTAAAGCTGGTCTGCTTGTTTATTGTTAATGTACAGACGAGCGTCAGCTGCTAGGGCGGTTTTAAAGGGCGTTAGGCAGCTAGAAGGCTAGCTGGGTCCCAAAGCATTGCTGGCCATGAGTATTTCGGGGGGAGACTGTGACGTGTGTCATTTTTGTCCCCGGAAAATGTACCTTTTCAATTTGTTTCAAGCTGACAAAAATAACCAGGTGATTTTCATCTTTTTTTTTCTCCATAGGAACAAAAAAATGGATATGCTGAGCCACTGATAGCCTTTAATCCAGCTCATTTAATAATAATAAAAAAAGAGTAGAAAAGGGGAATAGAGCCAAATTAAAAAAAAAATCTGTCTCACCTTCTCCAGTGACATTCTAACATTATCTCTCCCTTTTGTGGTCTTTGTCAGATGACACAGAGAAATTGATTTTGATTGCTTGTATGTCAAATGGATATTGACTTCGAACAACCACATAGGACAAAGAGACTCCCCACCGCAAAAAGTTGGTTCTTTGGTGTTCCTCCAGAATCAAAGGCAGTATATCTGAAAGTAACAATTTCAGAATAGAAATAGTGGTGATTGGGGTGTGTGGGGGAGAGTATTGCTTCTACTGTTTGGCTTCTGGGTTTTTTTTTTAATTGAAGTTTTTATTTTATAGCATATAAAAATTCCAATTTCAATTGAACAGTGTGTTGTCTGGGTACAAATATTTTTAGGAAATAATCAAAATATTTACAACAATATTAATTACCTTGATATTAATTATTAGTGTCAATAATAATAATAATATTTACTTAACCAATTCAACATACCTTCCTTATATCACTGATCCTTTCCATATATTTCCCTGTATCTAGCTCCTGTTTTTTTCAGCTAGCCATTAATAAAATAAATCCCAAGTCAGAAAGTATCTTCTGGGCTTTCTTGATGGTTACTGTAGGAATATATCCCTGAATAAAAAGTGCAGTATTTGATCTGACCTAGGAGCTTTTTTCTTGGTTTTTAATAATTAAAGATGTCTGTTATGTGCAAAAAGAGGAGGAGGAGGAAAAATGCCCAGACAAAGTATGCAGTAAGTAGTAAGTAAAATTAGTGTTACATATTCGTGTTATATGATTAAATGAGTAAATTATTTAATAATTAAAATCAAACATACAAATGAATGTATGGAATTCAAATTCCCTAATAAAGGATTTGTACTCATAAGATTTTTCTTCAGGCATAGTTCAGCTTTTCAGACCATGGTATGGCAGATCGGGTGGCCTAGAGGTGGAGCTCTTCCCTCACAATCAGGAAGCTGTGAGTTCGATCCTAGATAGAGGCTAATATTTGGAGTAGACTCTCCTGCTGGAGCAGGGGATTGGACTAGATGACCTCCAAGGTCCCTTCCAACTCTTGTTATTCTATGATACTCTGTATAAAAAGAACAGATGAGTTTTCCACCCGTATAGATGTCTTCATACATGAAAGTATGTAATTTTGATTTCTGTTGTCCCTTGTTAGTTTAAAAATTATTTTATTATATATTTTTATATATTTTATTCAAAAGCTTAGAGAGTTTGCCCATTGTTCAGGCATGGATGCAAAACTTGTCCTACTTAACTTCAAATAAAATATGGAGTAATTTGCATACCAGGGCATTTTTGTGTAATTTAAAGTTTATTGCTCTTCTTCCGCATTCCTTTGTGGAGGTGGATTTTAATAGTACACACAGGATTATTTGTGCCATAATAGTGACTGACTAATGATTTGGGCTTTGGAAAGTTACCACATCTCATTTTCTAAAGGGTTCCTATTACTAGTAAATAAGCTTGTTTAATTATTTATAAAGCTGAGTTCTCATGTTGCATGTATCAGTGAAGAATGCATCCTCAGAATCTACCAGGACCCAACTGAAGTAACAAAGGAAATTATTATCTTCCTCTTTTTCTCTGTTGCAGGCATCTCTCTTAAGCTGGTATCTATCCGAATAATTCCTTGAAAAGGAAAACTGTCTGGGTTGTCATGTTTATTTTCCATGCTGAAAAGAGAAATGCAAAATGAATTCATAGTTCAGCAGTCTGTGAGTCTTGATTTTCAGACTAATTTGACATTTTAATTGTCCTCATTGAGCAAGAAAACATAATTTATCCATTCGGAGGAAGCTGCCTGGTACTGCATGTACCTAGTCCGGTTTTGTCTACTCTGATTGGCAAGACCTCTCCAGTGTGTGAGGCAGAGAATTCTTCATATCACTTGTTGCTGATCTTTAGAAAATTGATCTACAAATATCAGAGGCTGAAATTGGATTTTCTGTTTGCAAGGTCTATGTTCAATCACTGATCTTTGGGCTCTATCCTGCCTTCCACCCTGATAATTCATATCTTTGGGTGAAGAAGAAAGCTACTTTAGAATCTCTTTTTGACTTTTTTCCCCTTGATATTGCAATTTATTTTCATTCTTTTTCTCCCTTGTTTCAAGTGTTTTATTTCATTTTCTTTGCAGGCTGGGCTTTTTAATTAGTGGACTATGGGACTGGATTTTTTTATAACCTCCAAGGAATGACATATGGGGAGAACATGGCAAAGACAGGTAAAATAGAGATCTGGTAGAACATGTACATGGCTGGAGATGAAAACCTTTTAAAGGTTTCCTTTTATTTAAAAAAGGCCTTTTTCACTGGCCGTGTAACGTAAGCTTGGCTCAAATGTCTGTATCTATTTAGAAATCAGCTCCACTGAGTTCAGTAAGATTGATTCCCATGCAGAATTGCTGCTCCATTGGTCTGAGCTTGTCATCTCCCTAGTAAGCAAAGGGCATTAGAAAGGGTAAGTCTATAAAAGTGGGGAAATTTCTAGATGTATCATCTGGAAGGGAACTTTGGGGAAAACCTGCTATTAGGAGGGAGAAGCGTTTAGGCCTGGAAATATAAGGAGTTTGATTGATGGAAAGTTTGTTTTAATTTCTGGAAATTGCCTGCTTTCCATTTGCATTGATAAAGTGTAGATAAAGTGCACAAATAACTAAGTACACATGAAGCTTTCCCCCTAGGACATGTATAGTTAGATATGTATAATTAGATTTTAAAATGTTTGTCAAATGGAGAATATTTGAGATTAAGAAATAATTGCTAACACTTGTGTGATAAGTAACATTAAAAGCACTGTTTTTTGCAAAGCATGTCAGAAGACGTGTATATATTTTTTACAAATTTTTTACAATTTTATTGACAGTGGTTGTTAGCTAGAGTTTAGTAAATAGCACTACATGTTTTATTAACTTTCTGATCATGGTGTTCTTATGTGAGTGATATTGTTTATGTAGCAAAAAAATGCTATCTGCTCAACTTGTCTGTAGTGAAAAAACTGCATTCTTTTTTAAAAGTGTTTTGAGGTTGTATGATAAACAAGAATATGAACTTTTTAACACTCCTGCTATTGCCAGTTTGATTTGTTTTGAATGACTTTTCAATAATATTTTAGACAACTTGGATTTAACAGTGCTTATGAAAAGTTCTCTTCAAATTTACCACCCACAACATCTACCACTGTTGACAGAAATGCCAGTAACACCAGACAAAGAATTGAGATGTTTAAAAATAAGAGCTGATTAAAATAGAGATATCTCTGGGGATCTGATACAAAAAGTGTGATTATGATTTTTTAATAAGAGCTTGCCTCAGAAATATCCTTCAGAACTTTATAATTCATGTATCATAATATTTAAATATATTTACCTAATAAATATAACTCAGATAATTGTGTCTTTTATTTCCAAAACAGAAGCAGTAGAATGCTTTTCCCTGTATGACATCAGTGCTATTGTTTATACCAAATCCACGCATAGAATTATTTTGCCCATGATTGCTGAACTTTACAATTTAATAATAGCAATTGAGCAGAGAGAAATTACCCATGAAGCTTTTGCCAATTTAGAGACAACTGCAGAAGAATTAGCAAAAGCTACGGAAGAATTCAGCTGTATTGCTAGAAGGTAATATTTATTTTAAAATATAAGCTATTTAATTGTGAATTTGGGGCTCAAGCTAACCATCAAGTAATTTATATATTATAGGAAGGAAATGTAGGTTTGCAACTCAAAATAAAAGCTGTGCAGAACAATGTTAGGTGTCGGATATGCGACCTCAAAGACTGGTTTGTTTACAGTACCAGCTCCCATTAACTGAGCTAAATGCCACATCTTTTGTCCCATTCTAGGCTGGCTGAAGAATCTGGTGATGAGGTCCTTGAGAAAGAGATGGTGCCAGCAACTCAAACTCTCCTGGTATCAGGAAAAAACATCCTTCTTGCTGTTCAGAAGCTTCTCATTCAACCCGATGCTTGCAATTCTGTAGAAGAATTGGCTGTTTCTGCAAAAAGAATACTTGTGGGAACTATAAAAGTACATTAAATTTATTCCTAACTATTGAAACATAGTTTTGCATGTTTGGCATAGCAGCTGGTCAGTTATGTGCAGAGCATTTATGAAAGCTTGTTGCTAAAAGCGAGATATTCCTTGCCTTCTATCTGGTTGCTTTTGAGGTTTGGGGTAGAAATGAAAAATAGACCTTTGCTCATTTCTGCTATACTGTTTATATTCTTATGTCCCACAATGGGTACTGAAGTTTCTGCAAATGGCAAAATCTCAGATATGTATCGGCTGCCAAAGGTTCAACTATCTATATGCCTTTAAGGATGGCTAGATCTGTAGCAATATAAAAACGATGATACAGCAGTATTCTGCCAGTACATTCCACCCCAAGAAGAAAACAAATAATTGATCTGTACCTCTTACTTATGACTAGCTACTACAAAAATACATGAGCAGAAAATGCTTGACTATCAATTGATATTTGTCAGATCAAAAAAGGATTACCTCAGGGACCTCATTTTGTTATCTCAACTTGAGGGGTAAGAGAAGAATTATGGGGTAAAAGGAGAATCTGAAGTCATTCTAAATATTTCCCAATTATAGTAATAGTGACCTCCATGCAACAAAGATTTTACTGATGTGGCAGTGTAGCCATTTTCTAATTAGTAGTAATAGCAGTTATAGAAAGTAAGGAAGATGATCTTGATGGAGATATGCAAGATCAGTTGCCAGGGCAATGAGGGAATAAAACATATTTTAAGCCCACAATGGAGATTATGTTTGGAAGGCTCACCTCCCTAATTTACTGAAGCATGAAAAGGAATAAGAGGTACAGCAGAACCAGATTTGCAAGTTTCTGTCTTTATGGCTGATTTCATTAAAAGTTGTTTTAGATTTCTTGTGGAATTGATTCTGGTGTCTGTTTAGTGGGATTGATAGTCCTAGAGGACTATATTATATGTACAGATAAAGTAGTTCTACTTGTATATTATTAATGATTTACTGTACAATAGTAAGTTTTCAGATATTTTTTAATGATATTAACAAGGGAGATTATTATCTGTTTTAAATACACTACAGAAAGGGAAGATTGGTCTTGTTGATATATTCTAAAAGTTTGTCCTTCAGCGAATCCTCCACTTTATTATATTACAGATATGTTATAAGGATGTCACTATTTTACATTTTCTATGGAAAAATGGAAGCAATTAGCAGCATGCAAATTTAAATTGTGGTTTATCAGAATTGTGCAATATCACTAGGCTGCTTATACTCCTGTTTTAATTCTATTGCCCCTTCATAAGTTGAAATAGCATAATCTCCCCTCTCCCCAGATGCCTCCTAAACAGAACATAGAGGTACTGGGAAGTAAGTATTTTGTATTTAAATAATGGATGAAAAGGAAAGGGAGAGAAATCATAAATAAAATTGACCAGGCTTCCTTTATGACGTGGTATTTCTAATCTGTATTCAGCTAGAGTTATAGCAGAATAGGAAGAACAAAGAAGAGGAAGATGAATAGTGAGGCTGTACAATCATACAACTGGGTTTGCCTCATTCCCACTGGACTATGGACTATGAGAGGTGGATTTTTTTTTGCACTTGGTGGTGGTATGATGAATGATAGAATCAGTCAATCACTTTGCCTAACATATATTGGGTCTTTACAATTAAATGCAGGGTAGGAATTGACAACGGGGACAGCAAATCAAAGAGAGGTTGATGGCATTTTAACTTAGCTGGGGAGAAAGGCCCCAAATGACACTGTTGTTAACATTGCCAAATAACTTTGCCAAATAGATTATTGCAATAATCCTGACTACTGTAAAAAGAGACTTCTCTTAACAATTGCTGATATTACTATTATATTTTAAAATTTAATTTACAAGGTTTTCTGGGCACAAGAGGATTCCACCATCAGGCAAATAATCCAAGCTGCTCGTTGGCTATTTGGTTGCCTGCTGATGCTGGACTCTGCTGAAGATGTATCAGCGATGCTAAGTGCTTTTCGCCCCTTTTCAGAGGCTCTCCTGTTACTCACCAATCTGACAGAAAGACTCCTTTGGGATCTTAAAGAATCTTTGCAACGGAAACATTTAGCTGAAAACCTGCAGATCCTTAAAAACAGCATCCCTATGTTATTCACAGCAAAAGTCAGCCACCTTCAGCATCCCCATGAGCAGCAAATGAACCTATCAAAAAATTATATTTTTGACTTAGTAAAAAGTAGTATTAAAAAATTGATATCCCTGTTGAGGAGCAACATAGGAAGAACAAAACAATTGCATGAAAGGTATGGCCTTTTCCCCCAGTATTTGCATCAATTTCTAGGCCTTATGTTTAGTCCACAGCCAATTCATCTACATGAAGATAAATTAAACTTACCTGTAGAAGTTCTAATTTTCTATTGCATGCTGTTTGCTGATTCATCAAGAGCAACTCTAAAGCAAAAACTAATTCAACTTTGTCATCATTTACTGAAATTCAGAAAAGTGATTGTCATGGATGTAAGCACATTTAATGGCTTTCCAAAGGAAAATATAAAAGATGAGTGTTTGGCCATGAAAACTGAGTTGGAACATCTTAATCAAGTAATACGTTCTGCTGTTATCTATCATGTTTTGGATAATTTGGTTGATATTAAAGGCCCCATGAGGAGACTGATAGAAGCTGCCACAGAGCCATGTTCTCATGTTGGAAAGGAAGGCCTCCTAAGAAAATTGAAACCTTTGGTTACCACATTCTTCAGCCATTCCACGCAGATGCTTAAAGCGGCCAATTTGATTCTTGTTACATGCACTGAAAGGGAAACTGCTGAAGATATTGAACAGTGTATAGAACAATTTCATAGACTTCTTGCCACAGTGCCTGGTCTCCTGAGTGAACTGAGCCTTTTTCCAGGAAATGATGATGTGTCTAAAAAATTAAACTTCTTGTCTCAAATATGGTCAAGCACAACAGAAAGTTTGATGATGTGTTTGGACAAAATATTGGATTTGCATGAATTCCTTGATGCATCTGTTCAAGAGATGATGAGACACAAAGAAGCAAGTGAAAAAGCTTTAGATATGCAGCACTTTGAACATTTTGGGGGGCACACATCTAGACTATGCAGACAAGCAACACAGATAGTTGAGTTTGTTAATAGATTTGTGGCCAAAGCCAGAGATCCCATTTTCCGGAATGGGCTCTTGGTTTTAATTAAACAGCTGAAAAATGCCATAACACAGACAGAAATTAGCATAAATTGGTGTACGGCAAGAATGACCAGTTTGCAAGCCAAAGAAGAATATTCAAAGAGGACAAAGGAATTGATAGAGTTTGCTTGTAATGTCCGAAAGGGGCTAGATGAATGTAATCAGCCAGATATTCTTAGTCCACTTCGGGATGGTGTCCATGATTTCAATATTCCCATGGATTTTCTAGATGCCCTTGCTTCACAGGATCCTATGGAATTTAGTACACAAAGTTTCATAAAAGAAAATAGCTCAAATAATGCAGAATTGCTGGTCGAGTCTTTGGACAAATTTAAACCAGCCTATTGTCCTTCTCCAGAATTTCCCAGAATAAATATTATATACCAGAAAGATGCAGTCAGAAGAGCTAATTTACACCCACTGATTAGTGAGCTGACAACAGCAACAAGAATACATGATGCCATACACCTGAATAGCATTTGTGCTGATTTGCTAGAACTTGCTAACTGTTGTATTGATGCAGCTAAAGAAGCCTTACGGATTGTTGAATCACCTATGTCTGATAAATTATTGCATTACAAAGAAATAGTGGTGTTAATCCCTCATTTTATTGGATTAGCTGGAGAAGTAGAGGCAAACCCTGTTCTCAATTCAGAGCAACTGCTGCAAACAGCTATGTTGCTTTCTAAGAAGATTGATGAGACAAAGCACAGTCTGACTTTCGTTGTAAGTTTTTGGTACAGGCTGGCAAAGCAGTTAGTTGGCTTTATGCCTCCATGTAGTTCTCATGACGAAATTCAAAGTTTAGATGAGATCATGAAGATTTTAGAGACGCTGGTTCAGTTAATTAGCAAAGTGGTCCATTCAGATGAGAGAAAATTGCTCCCCGAGTGTTCCAGCCTTCAGGAAATTTTCCTACGAGTTCAAATTCAGTTCACTTGTGTACAAACTAGAACAAAATATCTGCTTGAAAAAGCACAGGATATTAGTAAACCTCATCCCGATTTTGCTAAACAGGACAGTTTTGATGCAAGTTGCATTCTGTGGTCTGTTACCATCCAAGCATTGTTAAATATTGTAGATCAGTTTATAGGAAGAGATGTATTAGCCTTAAAAGAGTTACAAACTAAAATGAAACATCGGCTTTGCTTGCAGAGCACGCTGACAACAGTATCTGAAAATTCTGTTAGAATACAGGAAGCTGCGAAATTGTCTATTCTTTTATGTACTAGACAAGGTATTGAGAATGAGATCCCATCTCAAACAGAACAGATCAAAATATTGACAGAATCTCTGCTTCAAGTTGCAAATGCTCTGGCAGTCTCTCCAATAGCTGCTCCCAGTTTATTGGTTCAGTTCGAGGTTCTCCAAAGAAAACTTGCCATAACAGTCAAAGCCGTCTTGCTTCAACTGAATGGACTCAATGGAGAATACTTGAGTAGCATCCAGAGTGTTGTCAAATTAAGCCAATTTATATCACATGGCACTGGAAGTGACAGTGACCTCATCCAAAAGGAGACCTTTGGAAGAAAGGCAGCCTTCCTCAAAGCAAATATCCAAACAGTGGACAAAGTCATCCGGGATGCACTGGAGGAGCCATCCAAATTTCTAAAGCCGAAAGAGAATGTACTCACCACTACAGGCAACCTTCTCCTCCTTACTGATGAAATTATGGGACTGGCTGGACAGTTCCAACTAGACCAGCATCATCATCTGGTAGATAGTCTTCTGTATGAGTGGTCTGCTAAAGCTGGCTATCTTGTAAGACAGCTTCAGTCCATGAAAGGCATGAGTGAAACAGTTCTGCAAGTTGTTAGAAGGTGCTTACAAAATGATGAGGAACATATTTATTCCATCCAGCCTTCCTCGTTGAAGAAAGAAGATTGCACGCAGCATCAGAACACCCCATCCCAAGGACACAAAGCCATCAAGGCTGGAGAAGGATTTTTTCCTGCCTGTAACAAAATTACCATGGTAATATTGACCTCTTTCTAAAGCACCAAAGACTTAGATATGTTTTAAATTATAGCCATAGAGAAAATGTGATCTTTTGTCCGGTATGAGGACACAGTTATAGGACAGCAGGTTTTACATGGTCTGGTACACAATGCTTTTCACTATTCTGTATCATTAAGTTTAATAGTGGATGCTGATGTTTTAAATAATATTTGTGGAATATTGAGAGACATGGGCATAGCAATGACATTGATATTGTTGGAATGGCCTGGAGCAGAATTTTCAGCTCTTTTAAAATCATGTTCACCACATTAGCTCACCAGTCCCTTTGGGCTCTCAGGCCTGCTGACACAACCAAGTCTTGAGGGACCATCAGAAGCTCAGAAAAGATGAGATAAAGCTCCCTTTAGAGGGAAAAGATTCCACAGTGCAGGTATCACTACAGAAAATGCCAGTCACACTGTCATCTACGGGGCTACATTTTAGCTCCCTAGATGACAGAATCCATAAGATGTCCTCTTTGCTAGATTTGGGGAATGGGCAGATTAAATCGGAGGGAGATTGTCCCTCAAACCCACATCATGAAGGGCTTTAAAGGACAATGCCAACACATTGAATTGAGCTTGGAAATAAATTGGTAACCAATGCAGCTCCCAAAGCAGAGGTGTAATGTATGTTCTGCAAAAAATACATAACTCCTCATACTGCTGCATTTTGCAGCAGCTGAAGTTTCCTGATACTTTTCAAAGGCAGCCCCATGTAGAGCACATTGAATTAGTCCAAGCAGAAGGTGACCAGGGCATAATTGACCATGATAATTGACCCTTTGATCTAGGATCAAGCGCAGCTGGCACATGAAGTTGTGCAAAGGCCCCTTCTCTATGAACACCACTTGCTAATCGAGCAGAAGTCTCTGGATTGTGCACAGGGTCTGTTTGACACAGTGCAACTCCAACCAATACCAAAGATGTATAGTTGTAGACCCAGAGGGTTTCAAAAACTAAAGCTACCCTTGACAGAATTCAGTTGAAGCCTGTTGTTCCCCATCCAGAGCTCATAGTCTCCAGATGCTGGGATAAGATGTCCACAGCATCGCTTAATTTGCCTGGGGTAGAGATGTATAAGTGGGTATCATCAGCATAATGATGATGCCTCAGCTCATGGCAGCATATGATTTCACCCAATGGTTTCATATCATCCATATGGTTTTCATAAGTTAAATAGGAGAGACGAGCCTGATCCCTGCAGCACCCCACACAGTTTGATCTGGGGTAGAATCTCCCCTTCCCAATTGCTACTGACTGGGATTGACTCTGGACAAAGAGACAACCCAACACCAATCCTCTGAATTGATCCAGAAGGGATCAGCAGGGTTGATAATATTGAAAGCTGCTAAGAGGTCAAATAAGACAAGGATGGTCATACAGCCACCACCTTGGCCATGCCAGAGAGCCAGAGTGCTACCAATATCCTTTCCATTCCATATCTAGGTCTGAATTCTGACAGATAAGGATCCTGATAATCATCCAAGGTCCTATCAAGCAGTTGCACAGCCACCATTGCACTTATTTTTCTGGAGTGCAGCAATGAAACTAGGGAGGAGAAGCATTGGGTGGACACATTATGTCTTCGAGTCTTTGCTTGGGACCTCACAATTCTGATAACATTAGTGGTTGTCAGGCAGCATGGCCAAACTGCAGGCTTGCCACCATAATTTCTGGAGGTTGGTGGGTTGTGTGGTGGTGGGTTGCATCACAGCATAAACCTTTTTGAAAGAATATGAACATCCTGGAGCTTGAGAGATAAATAAACTGTTTTGTTATCTCCACAGTATTGGGAAGATCCTCCAAGTGATTTCCAGACTGGTCACTCTGAATGCAGTTTGAGATCTGGTCCAACCTCATCACTGGGAGACTCAGAGAACCACGGCTGTCTTATTTCACAAATAATCGAGGAAATGAGAATTCAAGTGTCATACATGGCTCAGTTTCTAAAAAGGAAAGGGCCAATCATGGTATTTCCTCTTTAACAGTTTTGCATGAAAGAGTGTGTATTGGGGATAATGATTTCATTTTTGTTTCAGAACAAAATGTATTTTTGTTTCAGAACAACTTGCAAACTGGACATCCCTTGTTCATATATAAATGAAGATCAGCAGGGAATTCCAAAGCAGTAGGCTAAAGCAGAAATTAAAACAAATATTCCTGGAAAAAAGTCATGTCAGACCACCTTCATATGAATTACAAAACAGCATGGGTGTGTCCAGGTAATCAGCAGAAGTCAAGCTGAACCTGAAGATGTCTTTACTCTTTTTTGTAAATAAAGCAAAATGTTTGTGAGAGAGTAGATGCTATCCTGCTGGAACACCGAACTCTGAAGACATAGGGTTGAAGCATTGTAGGTTGTGGCTGGAAATGCATTATCTTGGCCATATGATCAGAGAGGTACTGTTGGACTATATCAGTTGCATAAACTAGCTTCAGGCCATAGAGTTCAGGTGAAGGCTAGAAATGTATTAATAGGAAGATAATGTTCATTCACTCCTCTTTTTTATAATTGTTTTTTGTTTAGACCAAAGAGGAAGTCATTGCCACTGCTATTCGAGTTATGGCTGGAGGGGAAGCCCTGGTGAAATTTGCTGGCAGAATTACAAAGGATTGCATAGATGAAAGACGTGCAGCTGACCTACTGTGTGCCTTGGAGAAAACCAAAACAATTAACTATCAACTTAGCATCATTACCCGGTAACTAGATTTTTGAAATAATTTCCCCCTGAAAAAAACAAATTATATCCGTATTTTTCTTCTTCTGGTGCCAAGGTACTGCCCTTTCTGTAGTATGACCTATAATTCAGAATGACCTTCAGCAGCTCAGAGCAACGTAGGAGAATATGTGTGTTGTAATCTAAGAATGGGGAAGGCATTGAATGGTGCAGAGAGAAGTGGTGTTGGAGACCTGTGCCACCAATCTCTATTTTTTTATTTGTGTCAATGAAATTAAATAAGGGCTGACTTTTTAAAGGCAGCCGGAAAACATTTTTGGATTACCTTGATCCAGACGGTTAGTTGCACTTAATTTTCACTGAAAAAGTAATTAAAGTAATTCGAATGAAATATCTGATTTGGCTCATTAATTTACAGATAGTTCTCAACTTACAACCATTTATTCAGGGACCACACATGAATTTACAGTAAATGAAGGGATTTATTGCCAGTCCCTGAAGTTTACAGCCATTGCAGCAACCCAGTAATTGTGATTGAAATGCAGGTGCTTGGCAGCTTTCTCACACTTACAACTGCAGGGACGTTTCAACTCCTCTCACCTGCCTGCCTGCTCCATCTATGCCCTTTTGGCCCCCTGTACTCAGCAGTCCCTGCCTCTCTAGCTAATCTTTACAGTCTTCTTGCTCTGCTGCTGACCAAGCATGCCCAGCCTGGCCCTTTGTGAGGTATTTCTTGCGGGGCTTCCCGCCCTCCCCAGATTATAGACAACAGTTTCCTCATGAGTCCTGGCAGAAGCTCAGCTGGAGTGACAGAGGGCAGGGCAGAAAAGGTGGCTGGGCTGAAGTGGCCGGAGTTTTGTGCTGAATTGCTGGGCTGCAGCTTCGTGCTGTGCTGCTGGGGCTTCCTGGGATAACTGGAGCTTCCTGGGAAGGTTGTGGCTTCATGTTGCACTCCTTGTCTGTGACATTGTACCATTGTACCAGATGCCCCAGCTGCGTGGTTCTGAGGCTGCTTGCCACAAGGCAGGATGCAAGGTGGCCAAAAGGGTAGATCTGGGTTGGGGAGACAGATAAGGAAGAGTTGAATGTGAGGTGGTTCCGGACCTCACGGAGGCTCAGAACTGCGATAGACCAAGCTTGAAATAGCTTGACATGGGTGGGGCCTCAGCTAATGACTGGTGGAATTTGGTTAACAATGGGGCGTGCTGGAATTGAAGTTGCTGAGGGATGCAGAGAAGTAATGTGTTTTACGTTCCAAACAATGTTCCAAAGTGTGGAACATTGATTACTGACAGAAATTTCAGTCCCAATTGTGGCTGTAAATCAAGGACTACCTGTAAGTAGCATTTTAGTTCAACTAAATTTGGTTTCAAATTAATGTAATTATATTTATAAGTGACAGTTAGAATAGCTAAACTGAAATTAATGAGACTTAAATTAGAAATAATTTAACATAGATCCCCTTGATTTCAGTTTCCAATTCATCATCAAATTTAAATTCACCTCATAAAAAGTGAACTCTTCAATAAAATAATCCACTGTGAAACCTGAAGAAAGTTTCTAATAAGTCAGCTTATTTGTACCAAATAAAATAAATAACTTTTCTTTATTCTGTGCCCACCCCCAATCAGCTGAGCATAGCTGAGCATGCTCAATCCTCATTAGAATGTTTTAATTGTTGTTAATGCTAAATAACTACAATACTTATGTTGTGATCTTCTCATTACCTGGGAAAAGGAGGTTTGGAAAACATGGGAACTTCAAAACATCTGCAAAGTTTTCTATTATTTGGAAGAAGTTAGCTGATTCTTCTATTCAACAAAGGTTTATTACTAAAAAAATAAAGTTTGCCCTAACAATCTCAAAGATACATGTTTAGAAGTGAAAGTATTTAGCTGTCAAGATTCCTGTAACTGAATCCAATTTTCTTGTTACACTTTTTTGTCCTTTAGGTGTTACATAATGTTTTATCTCATTACTTCCAAGGGTAATTGCATCAACAGGTAGCAGTAGGTCATCTGTGGAACACCTTGTAAGCAATGCTCAAAATCTCTTCCAGGGAGTTCTTCAAATGTTTATGGCAGCAGAAGCAGCTTGTGTCAAAGTGAGTAAAATGTGCTACTCTTCAGAATGTATGATGTAGCAAATCTCAATGTGAACTTGAAAGTCCAAAAATCTTCCCTACTTGGCAGTATCCCTTCATTCTGATAATTGCAATTATCAGAATTTCTTAGCTAGTGGGAAATATATTTGGAAAGTGCCAGATTGGATAAAGCTAATTTAAATGTTTAACCTCCAAACTGACAGGCTTTTATCTGTGTCTGCTCCATTTCTATTCAGAGTTGGGGTTAGCACAATATGGCAAAAGTGCTATAAATGTTCCAGTATATGTTTGGGCTCCATTTTTAATATAAATCATATTACATATGCTATTTCCTATAACTGTGGGTCCATTGCACTGTAAATAATGTACTCCAGTTTGTGCTAAGTTACAACTACCTGTATTTAGTAACTATGGGGTAAGTTTGTCAAGTGAACACTGCCATAGTCTCTCAGCCTAACTCGCTCACATGCTTTGGTATCAGTTCAAAGGAGGAAGAAGAGCTATGTATGCCATCTTCTGTCTTTGGAGGACATACAGACTATACATTAAATAAGCAGATAATAAGAATTCTTCAGAAGGAATTACGAATAGGTTTGGAACTGGAGCCTTAGAGGTAGAAGACAATGAGTTAACTTCTCCCCTTCCCACAATATTGTTGCAGTGCTCAAAATATCCCTTGTAGGTATTCTTGAATTTTGATCGATGTTCTCAATTCCTTTTTGTGTCCCCATCAAAATACTTTTAATGGGAAGTTTTTTAAAAGGATTGTATAACTCTAAGACATTTTGCCACAAACCGTTTTAATGTTAAAACTCTAACATTTCTCTGATTTCCCCTCCTTCAGGGTTTGCAACACCCATCCCCTCATACAAAAGAATCAAATACAGGTGCATTTTGCAGCCAATGGAGGAAGAGTCTTCAGTGATATGGGGCCAAGGAAAGTTTGAATTCAGACAAAGAGAAACTGGGACTCTGCAAAACAGGACTGTGGCCCAGCCCACTTTCACCTCTGTGATCTTGGAACTTTATTATAATAGCAGTAAATAGTCCAGTCCCTCTAAATACAGGTAGTCCTCACTTAGCAACTGCTTCATTCAACAATCGTTCAAAATTATAACGATGTTGAAAAAATGACTTTACAACCAATGCCCACATTTATAACTTTTGCAGTGTCCCCCAGTCACGATTACTATTATAGCCACTATATGTTGCTCTCTGTCCTGACCTGTTGTTTTTCTTTTCTTTTCTCCCTGGTAGATTGGAGCAATAGGGAATACAAGAGAATAAGCTGGTACACCATCAGGAATACACATTCCTTTCAATGTGTATGCCCATTGTATATCTTCTTACTCTCTTATAATCCCTTTCTTTCCAATCAATGTAACTAGAAACATTCCCTTTTTGCTGGGATGAGCAGTCCAGAAAGTGGAGGAGTGGGAAAAAGGAAAGCACAGTCACATGATTTCCCATGCTTAACAATGGAGCTGTTGAACCCAATATTGGTCACTAAGTGAGGTCTCCCAGTATGATGAAACTATTGAAAGTATAAAGCTTAAGCACAATTAGGAAAATTAGCATTAAAATAGGGAGTTAGGATGAATAAGGAAACATGTTATCTAAGACAGTTTTACCCCACTTATTGCCCTCCAGATTTATTGACTGCCAAGTCCTATGATCTCAGGAGTTCTTGGTGCTCTCTGATGTTGTTACCAAGTTGGGTAATGAAACATCCGCAAGCAAACAAGGGAGCTAAGAGAGCACCAAAGACACCACAATTCAAGCCTGAGCTACTTGTATTCTTTCTGTTGGACCCTACTTCACATGATTTGGACAAACTGCTAAAAGAGGATTGTACTCGAAGAAATGAGCTTCTAGATGTAATGTTTTCCGCTTTCCCATAGGAACATTTATTTTTATCTGTATTAGTTTTCGCTTACATAGAATGTCACGGAATATTATTGCTTGCATGCTCTTGATTTTGGTAGGTATAGACACATCACAGCATCGGAGTATCTTCTCAAAGGCCTTCATGGTGGCACCACATGTACCACTTTGTGACATATTTCTTGACTGCATGTTTCTTTACTGCTGATTAATTCTTAAAGCATTAGCTATCTATCACTTCAAAATCTTGGCAGATTCCCAAGGCAACATGTGCTGTGCAGATAGGGTCCTATCCCTAAAGACTGAATGCTAATATAAAATAAATTTATTCTTCCCCCTAAAAGATTTATTTTTCAATTAAAGTGGACAGTTTCTGTGATATTAAAGGTGGGGAAAAAAATTCTGAAGTGGTTTGTTTTATTGGTCTGTTTTTTTTAACATTGTACAAACCTGGCATTTTTAACAGGGCTGTGTAGTTTTTTTTATATCCACCGTAAATTGGGAATATCTTGTAAGGTATCTTAGATGTTGATGTCATAAGGTAAAGGTTTTCCCTGTCCAGTTGTTTCCAACTCTAGGGGGCAGCGCTATCTCTGTTCTTTAGTCTAGGAAGCCAGAGTTGTCCAAAGACATTTCCATAATCATGTGGCCAGCATGAATATGCCAAGGTGCCCAGAACGCTGTTAGTTTCTCACCAGCAGTGCTTGTTCATCTACTTGCATTTGCATTCTTTCGAACTGCTAAGTGGGCAGGAGCTGAGGCAAGTAACAGAATCTCATGCTATCAAACAGCACTTAGATCTCAAACCTGGGCTGTCAGCCAGCTGACAAGCTCAGCATCTTTAACCATTGAGTCACCATGCATCTCCTACCTTTAACATACCTTAAACCATAACCTGTTAACTATGTCTTTTTTCCATGTCTGTTTCCATCTTGTTTTATATTTATTGTAATGTTGCTTGTGTCTTCTATCAGCTCTCTGAAACTATTTAAGTTCTTTTTAAGATTTTTTTTTCTCTTCGCAATTTCCAGGTTTTTTTCTGATATCCATTTTGTTTTCTTACATTTCATCATCTTTGAACATTTCTCATTTACATGTCATACCTGAGAAATCAATTATAAAATAATTGACTCACAAGAATGTAAGAGAACTTATGGAAAGGCCGTTCATCTGTTTGGAATGGACAGCTAGTTTCGTATGCCTCAGATGGATCTGACAAGTACCTATTTTTATAAGCCTTGATGCCGATATATGAATGCTAAATTAATATAAACATCAACTTGTTTTAACCTTTAAGAATTTTGATGTTGGGGGAAAAGGGTGCTAACCTTGAGAGAAAGATAAGAACACAGAATTCCCATTTCCTCATAAGTTTAATGCTTGCATCTCAATGCTTAGCATTTGGAGGTCAATCCCCTCACCTCCCTTACACAATTTATTTAGTTTGCTTAGTGAACTTTTTTCTCCTCAATCATTTGCCCCAATTTATGCTGCTCACCAATGACTTGCAAAAGTGAAGCTTTTGATTTTTGCAAGATAAAAATTCAGCTGTAATATTTTGGCCAAGAGGTTATTTGAAACAGTCTTCACCAGAGGTGGTTGACAATGTAAGAAATCAGAATTACAGCAGAAATTCATTAAATTTTCTGTTCATGAAGTCACAGATCTAAGGAAACCATGAGTCTGTGGAAAGTCAGAGATTTCACTCTTTTAATTTGTTAAAAATGCCAGACACATGAATACATGTTACTGTCATTACATCAATACAAAAAAGCAATACAAATTAAGTAGCTGAATACAAAAATACATTGAATACATGAACACCACAATGTGACATAACACAATAGAGAATAGGGTATACATGAAAAAGTAAATACATTTTATAGAACTAGATGTTTTCTATTTTGACAATAATGTCTTAGTTATGTCCTTTGCATATATACAGCATAGAATAAAATACTTTAAAAAGTTTATTCCGCTCCTCAGTATGTAATACAGTATCTTTTAGGCTAAGAATATCAGTTTCATGAGTAAAAAATGTTGCCCTGTGTCAAATGCTTAGCAAGTTGGGCTTAAGAAGATTAGATAATTATCATTTTAAATAATGTTTCTCATAGTAATGTACATTATATTGCTTGAAACTGTACAATCATACAAAAGTGGCAAACATAAAATGCTGATTTTGAAAAGACACATTACACATATACAAGTCTTTAAATTGAATCCCTTAATGATGATTTACAATGAAAGTGCTTCTATTGGACCTAACATGATATACACTTTTATTTAAACGGATCAATGATTCATATCCCTGAAATGGGAAACTTATATAGAAAATACCAAATTGGCAAACACTATAGTATACTGTATTACTGCATGTGGTTCTGAAAATAGCAGCCCCAAAGTATTTCTGGTTATAATTTAAAAATAAATAAAGCATAGAGGTAAACCCAGTTACAAAACTGCGGAAACCGGCATTATTCACAATGGTAAAAAAATCTTAATTAGCTAACAAAAAGGTGAAGCAGTTGGGTCAAAAGTCTTGAAAACATCTTTCAGCGACTTGTCATCTGATTCCCCATTTGGATCATTTTCTAGTGCTGGAGTGATCTGCCCAGGCTGCCTTACTTGCCTCTGATCACTGTATTGTGGTCTGATTAACCCTGATAAAGCTTGGATAGGAAGGTTGTGCACCGCTGGAGCAGAATTGGAGTGTTTAGCCTGAGATTTATTGAGATTAGCTACTTTCTCTGAATTGGTTTCCCCAAATGCTTCCACATGTTTTTCTACATGCAGGGATGCTTTTTGAGGCAACTGTTCTTCTGAGGTGGCTACTTCATTCTGACCAGTGTTTTTCAAAATACCCTTTTTCTGGTTTTCTCCATTCTCTCCTGAATTAACTGGAGAAGAATCCAATGAAGTATGATTTCTTGGATCATACAAACTAATGCCACTTATTATTGAACTAGAGGTGCCTAGTTTGGAACTTGCAGATGACAACTTAGGTGCATATGGAGGCAGTGTATCTGAGTCAGACTGGAAGGTTGCAGCTTCTGAGGACTGTGATGTACTAGAGTTGGATCTGGCCAACCTAGGATCAGTTTTTGAAGGCAAAAGATCCTTCACCGTTCCATGATGGGAGTCTGTACTGGACAGTCTATGTAGCCTGGGGTCAGTGGTTTTTTGTAAGCGAGGATCTCCTAGTTTATTTGTATTACCAGAATGCAAATCTGTAGAGTGCTCCAAAGATCCACTCCTGTTTGCTAAATTTATATTATTTTTTGCTTTTGCTGCTAGTCGTGGATCAGATGGAACCGTACTTAGGATAGAATCATTTTTGTTATTCCTTAATTGATTAAATCGCTGGTCAGCTATAAGTGGAGGAAGGGGTAAATTGATTGAAGATACTGGATCTGGTTTTGGCAAAGGTACTGGGAGTAAATCTTCAGGAGCCCATACGATATGCTTAGCAAAATTGGGTTTGCTTAGAACAATGTCCATTTTAATATGGCTGAACTGTCTAAGCTGAGATCTTGGATCTCGTAATGTTACTCCAGGAAGAGGTTCCAATGGTATGAGAAAAGCTCTGTCTCTTAACTCTCTTTCAGCATCTTCATCATCTTCATCCAATCCTTTTTGCACATTCTTGACAACAGGGTGCGAATAATGCGCATCCAGTTTTGCTCCACCAGTAGAGGAGCTTCCATGACTGCTTTCATTACCCTTTAAAGTTCTTGGATCTCGTGCAAGCCTTGGGTCCACAACTCCTGATTCCGATGATTTCCTAGCATTTGATCTAGAAGCTGATCTGAGTCTTGGATCAACAGCCTGGTTTCCTGAACCACGTTCCTTAGCAAGTCTCGGGTCAACTGGCGTAACACGCACTTGCTGATCTGTTGACTGCTGATTTCGAAACGTTTCACTTTGTTTTTTTAAGGTCTTCAGTATGGATTTAACACTGCTTCCTTCTTCTTCTTCACTACTAGAATACCAATTTACATTATCATCTAAAAGGAAAAAAGGGATAATTAAATCTCAGGAACATGCTACGTATTGTCTAAAATAGGATTCTACCATTTCATAGGAATAAAAGTTGCAAAGTACTATTATGAAATTTTAAGCTGCTATTAAAATGACATACAGTATAAAAACAAGAAGATAAATGGGTTAGCTGTATATCTGTGTAGACTTTCATCTGGTAATCAGCAAAATTCAATGCCAAAACCTTCCAAAGTTATTTTTTTAAAAAAACATTGGGGCTATATAACCATTTAGATAATATTTTGCTTTCAATTTTAAGCACTTTTGAAGTGCTAAAAGTATAGAAGAAATCCAGAACACCCCCTGCATAACTCCAAATTTAAAACATTTTATTTAAAAATATTTTATTTTAAAATTTTATTTTATTTAAAAACAAAACTTTGTAATTTTTAAAACATTATTATTATAGAAGATTAGCCAGCTAAGTGACCTTGGGTCAGTCTCTTCTTTCTCAACCCATCCCACCTAACAGGGTTATATTTGTGAGGAAAATAGAAGGAAGCACTATTACGTATGTTCGATGCCTAAAATTATTTTTTAAAAATAATAAAGGCAGTATAAAAAGAGTATCACTAGGATCTTAAGTGCACCAAAATCCTGTAAAATTTCAGAAAAAACTTATTTGTGGGAGGTGTGCAGTTGTATTCTGAATGTATCCATTTTTATTAGCTATTACCAAAAGGACTCATAGAAAGATATGCTAGTGTTCACAATGGAAGACTACACGGTAAAGGTGATGGCATTATCAGAGATGGGGAAGCTGTTTTAATTAAAATGAGAATTTATTTTTGTTCCTATTTGGAAACTGCTTCTGAACTTTTTGCTTGAATTTGAAATAAATGAAACTTTACATGATTAGAATGATTTTGTTATTATAGAAATGGTTTGAAATATGAAATGTAAAGCAAAAGGGAAGTTTTTTGTGTGTATGTGTGTGTGTGTGTACGCGCACGTGTCTGTGTATGTATGTATATTATTGCAATGAAAAAAGTTGGAAGTTACCACTTTTTCCCTCTCTTTGCACTTTTTAAAATCTAACTTTTTTCTGTATTTTTATCTTATAATAAAAATAAAATTTATGCAAAAAGAAAAATATAACTCAGTGTTATGCTAATATGTAAGGGGGACTCAATCAGTCTTTCTGTATGACTGTTTTATAGCAGACACATGCATGCTTTTCATTAGAGATTCAGCCACACAACCCTATTTTCTTAAACCAATTGGGAGTTGATTATGAAATAAATGGTGAGCTTAATAAAACTTACAATGACTATAATAAACACAATAGGGA